TCCAAACTTAACAGGAATGTTCCTTTGGTGGTCACCTTTAAAAATTGTTTCAAAGAATTTAATTCCATGCAGAACTCTTGGTTGCCATTGGCAACCGAAAAAAAAAACTTTAAATATCTTCTTTTAAAAAACCCTTAAGAGCTAGAGCTTAAAGATATTTGGCATGAAACATCTTCTAGTGAGTGTCTACCAAAGTTTTGTTCAAATAAAATCCCTGGGGTCAAAAATTGGCCCCCCGCCCCAGGGGGTCATTTGATTTTCCCTATATGCATATAGTAAAAACTTACAAAATCTTCTTTGAATGAACTCAAAGAGCTAAGAGCTAAGATATTCAGCATGAAACATCTTCTAATTGGGTGTTCTACCAAGTTTGTTCAAATAAAAAGCCCTGGGGTCAAAAATTGGCCCCGCCCCGGGGGTCATTGATTTTTGTTTTTTTATATTGTATAGCAAAAACTTAAAATAATCTTCTTTGAAAAAACCCAAAAAGCTAGAGTTTAGATATTAAAAGCATGAAACATCTTCTAGTGAGTGTCTACAAAGTTTGTTCAATAAAAGCCCTGGGTCAAAATTGGCCCCGCCCCGGGGGTCTTGATTTTCCCTATATGCAATAGTAAAAACTTAAAAAATCTTCTTTTGAAAAAACCTAAATACCTAGAGTTTAGATATTTGGCATGAAACATCTTCTAGTGAGTGTCTACTAAGTTTGTTCAAATAAAAGCCCTGGGGTCAAAGTTGGCCCCGCCCCAGGGGTCATTGATTTTCCCTATATGCATATAGTAAAAACTTAAAAATTCTTTCTTTTAAAGAACCCAAAGAGCTAGAGCTAAGATGTTCAGCATGAAACATCTTCTAATGAGTGTGTACCAAGTTTTGTTCAAATAAAAGCCCTTGGGTCAAAATTTGGCCCCGCTCTGGGGTCATTGATTTTCCTTATATGTGTATAGCAAAAACTTAAATAATCTTCTTTTGAAAAAACCCAAATAGCTAGAGTTTAGATATAAAGCATGAAACATCTTCTAGTGATTGTCTACAAAACTTGTTTAAATAAAAGCCCTGGGGTCAAAATTTTGCCCCCGCCCGGGGGGTCTTGATTTTCCCTATATGCATATAGTAAAAACTTAAAAAATCTTCTTTGAAAAAACTTAAATAGCTAGAAGTTCAGATATTAAGCATGAACATCTTCTAGTAACTGTCTACAAAGTTTGTTTCAAATAAAAAGCCCTGGGGTAAAAACTGGCCCCGCCCCAGGGGTGTCATTTTTTTTAACTATATGTGTGTAGTAAAAACTAAAAAACTTCTTTAAAAGACCCAATGAGCTAGAGCTTAGATGTTTAGTATGAAATATCTTCTTATGGATGTCTACAAAGTTTGTTCAAATAAAAGCCCTTTGGTGAAAATTGGCCCTGCCAGGGGCGGGGGGGGGGGGGAGGGTGGGTGGGGGGGTGAGATTGTTTTTCATTACATGTGTTGTAGTAAAAACTTAAACATTGTGAAACATCTTCTAATGAGTGTCTTCCAAGTTTGTTCAAATAAAAGCCCTGGGGTTTAAAACTGGCCCCACTCAGGGGGCCTATATACAGGTGAGCGACCTCAGGGCCATCATGGCCCTCTTGTTTAATTATTTTTTTAAGTGAAGGTCGCTTAAATATTTGATTCTGCATATTTCATATTTACAGGTATGGTGGCTGAGAGTCAGACTACAAGATCACAGGCCCAGAACAAGCAGAATGCTCTCATGCTACTGAGAACTAGGTATGTTTTTATATCATAAACCCCCTTAATTTGTGTTATGGATTTACCTAGTTTGGAACAGTCCATTCTTGAATAAAGGGATTTCAATAACAGAATACAAAAATTGCGTTACTACCAATATAGAGCCGTATCAGCTCAATAGGGTATTCAACTATAGTTGTAATATAGGGGTTGCTAATATTTGTGTAAGACGAAATTTCTTCTTGACAAAATATATATCTTATACATTGAGTCTAATAGTCTTTTATCTTTCACTGCTGATTCAGAAATTGTTAGGGCTCAGTAGTCATTCACTTTCAGAGAAATTAGTAATTACTGGTAAGTTATTCAGGAAAACTGACTTCCAAAATGTGAACAAAAATGTATTGATTTAATCATTAAAAAAAAACAACAAACACTGGTTAGACCAGAAAAAGGAATGGTTTGAATAACCAGGATAAAAGAAATGAAAGTTTCTAGTATAGTTCAGCAATCAACGTTGGTATTTAAAACATAAAACAGCAGAGTAATAACCCTTAAAAATGTTTATTTTAATTGGTTTATAAATTAGAGTAATAGCTCTTGAGGAACAAACTACATGCATGTCATATTTAAATAAGAAAAGACACTAGAAATAAATGTACAGTCTAACTTGCCCATGCGACCACGTGTATTAAGCGACTTTTGTCTTAAACGACCACTTTAAATTCCCCCGATCATTTACTCTCTGTATCATTAATGTATTAAGCGACTTTTGCTCAACGCGACCAGTGACCGCTAATTAGTCACCTAATTGAGATAAAGCTTTTCATTAAACGACCACTTTTACCTGTCAAGTAATTGTGTTTTTAGAGAACGCCGCCTTGTAATGTGACAAGTGTCAACAATCAAAACACAACAAATAAACGTGTGAAAAACTCTATTTCCCATACCGTTTTAGCGTATGCAAATGAAGGTAAGTATACGCGTGACGTGTATTATCCAATAATATCGGATAAACAATGCAACGCTCCGCCCCTCCTGAGATGGTGTATACGCTTGGCTTGTTGACATTTAGACTGCATTGAATTGACCTTGAACTTGATCAGCAGTTAAATTTATCGTAACAATTAGATGTAGTTTGTTTATTTCAAATGAAAAAATGCACAACAGAAAACATCTTCACTAATAGGGTTTTCGTGTTGGAGACAAGGAAAAACAACGGAGAAGTTAACAAATTCTGTAAAAAATGTCAAACATGTACGTAATGGATCAAAACTGTTATGCACCCCGTTTTGTCAATAAATATCAGAAAGTTATTTTTTACATTTGCATCCATTTAGATTATCGGAGCATACTAATTATTCAACATTTATATAAAAATGAAGTTAAAAAACATTCCTACCGCATAAGAAAGATGTCATTTATAAATTTTGACTTTTATATCATGCTGACTGTCTTAAGAGACCGTTTCATTAAGCGACCGTTTTGGGTGTTTCCCTTGCGCGGTCGCTTAATACACGTTTGACTGTAGTTGATGTATTTGACCTGTTTTCAATGTGAAGTGTGTGAATCAGAAAATGTTTAATTTCTGTGTGAAGTTTCTTTTGCCCTAAAATCTGCTGAATTTGTGTAATGGATTTGCCCTGCTTTTTAATTTGAAGTCTATTCAAAGATTAAGGAATTTCTATGTCAAGATACCAAAAATTGACCTACCAACAGTATACAGCCAAGCCAGACTGTACAGCTGTGCAGGTACTAGTGGTAAAGGCTAATCACTTTTAGCTCCAGAATGTTAAGGGTTAATGGAAGTGCATATTCAACAGAGCTTGTAAATGATATAGAAGTTTATGTCTTAATTTTGAACATTGATAAATATTTTAGCTCCACTTTTCGAAAAAAAAAAAAAAAATAACGCTATTGGCATGACCCATTTGTCAGCATTGGTTAACCTATTTGGTTCAATTTTCGTTTATGGTTAATAAATTCAATACATGTACTACGAATGAAGCTATTTCATTGAAACTTTGTGTGTTGATTCACATTGACGAGTTCAACATGGCACCCTCAATTTTAAGTCAAAAGTTCATAGGTCAAGGTCATAGTGACATGTAATACCAAAACATAACTCATCTTTAAGTAAAAGTGCATTGACCTAGGAACTTGAAACATTGTATGTGTATGTACCTTGATGAGCTCTACCTACCACACCTATTTCTCAGGTAAAAAATTCAAAGGTAAAGGTTATAGAAACCTGTTACATGAATAACAAAACACAAAACTGGAAATTCAAACACAAAACTGGAAATTCAAACACAAAACTGGAAATTCAAACACAAAACTAGAAATTCAAACACAATACTGGAAATCAAACACAAAACTGGAAATTCAAACACAAAACTAGAAAGTCAATCTTAGTGCAGTGACCTAAGAACTTGAAACTTTGAAAATAGATTTACCCTGCTGAGTTCTACCTGCCATACTTACTTATTTTATGTTAAAACAATCTTTAATAACTTTTTGGATTAAGTTTTTGTTAATGGTTAATAATTCAATTATGACTTTGAAACTTTATTAAACTATGTGGATGCATCTTGATGAGTTCTGCCTATCACACCAATTTTTGGATCAAAAGGTCAAGGTCAATGGGACCTTTACTTCAATTGACAGTGTATCTTTTTATTTAGAAAATATACAGTTAACTATACTGCACTGAGAAAATGAAGACATCACTTGTGTAATATTTAAAGGAAAGTAGCATTTTAATTTCAATGATTTGATTATTTCAGGATGTATGAAAAACAAATGAAGGAACAGACCTCTATGATAACCAGCCAGCGTAAACTTCAAGTTGGAAATAAAAATAGATCAGAAAAAATCAGAACTTATAATTTTCCACAGGATAGAATAACAGATCATAGACTGGGACACAATTTTAACAACATGACTGAGTTTATGATGGGTGAGACTGGTTTACAGAATATGATTAATGAATTACAGAAAATGGCAAAACTTGAAAATTTACACGCAATACTGGACGAGCTAGAAGATTCAGGGAAAAAGACCAAAAGAACTAAAAAATGATTGTGATAATAGTGCATTTTATTGATAAGAAAATTGTTTTATTGATTGTGTAGAGTTGTACTATTGTAATGGACATTCAGTTCTTGTTTATTTGAAATAGCTTTTATTTTTATTGACAATAAATCAAGTAAACACCTGTTTTGTGTTAACACTGTTTATATTCTATGACATTATCTTTCTGTATGCTGACGTTTAGCTTTCTCATCTACAACACTTTGTTGTAAAGATGACAGTGTTAAAGTGCAATGTTTAACATTATCATACTTTAACATTTAAATATCATATTGTAGGCACATAGAATGTTAACCCAATACAGTCACATAAAAATGACATGAACCAGAGTTATTCCAGTAATGACAGGGTTCAAGCAAAGGAGGGCCAAGGCAAAGTCAAAACTGCTCAACAGGTCACCTTTTTATAATAGTGCCTTCTGCCAGTGTCTCTCCTGTAATATAAGTATTATACAACCAGTTTATATATGATAGCTGCCATAGCCACCAAATGTAGTCTGGATAAGAGTCTGTCATGGCCAATTCCCCCCCCCCCCAAGTCCACATGTTATCTGCTTTAAACAGGTTCAACTGTATTATTACTATAGTCACTAGTATGACCTGTCAAACAAGTGGGACATGGTGACCCTTATATCACTCACCTGATATAAAGGCTCTTAATGACAAGGAACAATTAACATTGTAAACTATAAATGAAAAGCATATAAAGTCTAAACTTAAAGTGATATTAGTTAGTATCTGCATCTGAAATAGTGTATATGTAAAAATATTACTGCTTGCTTTTTTTAAGGAAAGTCAATTGTTACTACAGAAGTAACTGATTGCTATACAAAATCATTTGATTCTCTGGAAGTCAGTGGTTGCTATGGAAATTTACTGTTTGCCATTGAAAGTCAATTGTTGCTATGTGAAGTCAATAACTGCTATAAAGTACAATTGTTGCTTTGGAAAGTCAATGGTTGCTTTGGAAATCACAGGTTGCTTTGTAAAGTTGATGGTTGTTTTGTAAGTCACTTGTTGTTATGGAACTGACTGGTTCCTTTGGAAAGTCACTGGTTTCTATGGAAATCAATGGTTGCTATTGAAGTTACTGGTTACTATGGAAGGTCAATGGTTGCCATGGAAGTCATTTGGACCTCATGGGTATAATAAGAACAAACTTGGTAGAGGTTCCATAGACAATGTTTCATGCCAAATATCTAAATATATCTAAATATTTAAGTTTATACTACATACATTTAATGAACATATTTAATAAATTTCTTTTTAACTGTCCAGTTCTTCATAATGTTATTTCTATTTATTTTAATTTGTTAAGTCATTTATAGTGTCTATCTGTATTATTCTTTTATTTTAAAATTGATTAAACAACAACATTAAAGATTTGATTATGCCCCTTTCAGGGGGGGGGGGGGGGGGGTAATAAATTGTTTTGCGGATGTCTGTCATACCACTCACCCACCCTACCCCCACAAAATCCTGTATCTCCACTGGACAATAAATATAACATACATGTATAAATCATCAATCAGGAAGTTAAAATGAGCACTAAAAAGCTGGCTGTATCTTGTACAGAATGTTTACACAAGATAAAAATGATGTGACTATGACACATAGTATACTGAAAACAATACACGCTAACGATAAATATGGATATCAATTTTAAGTAGGGCATGCGTAATTTAGTCAAGCATCAAAATTCCCTTAACCCTTTCCCTCATGAGCATATTGTGAAAAATGGCCGTTTTCATTGAAAAGTCTCCTGTTATAAGTTCAAACTGCTATGAAACTATGAAAAATGCTTCAATATTTATCAAACTTGGCACAAATATTGACTGGACCATTGCCTTTGTAACGACATGCTCAGTCTTAAATTTCCTGTTACCATCACAACGAGGGGACATATCAAAATTGCCAAAAATCACTATTTTGCCTTGATTTTTTCCATCAAAATTTATTTCAAAGTGCTGCAACTTCTCAAAGGATTGAGATAGAGTCAAAGGCTTTTCAGCGTTGGTTACACGTTACCTTATGATCGGCCTGGGGTCATTTTTAGCCTCTCACAAGTCCAAAATTTTCTTGGCGATGAGGGGGACTACCGCCCACCTTCAAAACCCCCAAACAGAAGGGGGCGTATCCCCCTTCTGGCAACCCCCTGATCTTTTGGATGGGGGGGGGGCATATCCCCCTTCTGGCAACCCCCTGATCTTTTGGATGGGGGGCGGCGCCGAAAAAGTGCTCACTTTTTTTAGCAACATTTCTCAAACGAAAACATGTGTTTGGGCCCCAAATAGGACATTTTGTCACTATTTGAGGCCTTAAAGAGGGGGGGGGGGGTCGAAAGTGCGTTGTTTCGCGTGTGAAAGTTTATAATTGCTTATAGGAACACTGGTAATGGGAATACATTTATTGCATCACTTTATCAGTTCATTAGAATATATAATACTTTCTGTTTCAATTTTATTTCATCACAACTTAGATAAACCTGTTTCATTATGTACCAGATATAATTACCAGTGATAAGTGAAGTAAGTTGACAACTTAAAAAAAGGTGTGTAGGGTTAAACCAAAAGGAGTAAAAAACATGGCGTTTTTCATGTCAAAATTTGGAAAACATAAAGAAGATGAACATGAAAATGGTTCTTATGATGTACATGAGGGTTGCAGGGCGTGTAACCAATGTTTCATTAGAGGACATAAACACAATGCTGTATCATTCTGTCCATCGTGTTACACTTTTCTCTGTCAGGCATGTACCACAGACCATAAACAGAAAATACAAGATCACGGTCTGATTACCGATGATTTCGAACTCTGTGAGGAATATGTTAAACTGAAAAAAAAAATCAACTACGCCACCATTGAGCTAACGCAAACTGGTAATGAAGCTGATAATGAAGCATACTTAGCCGAGTTATACAGGGACAAGGCAATTGAAGAAATACATAAAGAGAGAGAAAAGATTAATATAATGTTAGATAAAGAAAAAATCAGAATCAATAGTGAACTAGACGAAATGGAGAGAAAAATAAAATCAAGAATACTTGAAAAGTACACAAAAGATTTTGAGAAGTTCAAGTCCGTTAAAGAAGAAGCAGAATCGGTGAAAGAAGACATACAAACGTTAAATCAAACGTACGAGTCTCTGCAACAGATGCCAAGTAATATTTCAAAGATAGTGGCAACTTGCCAAGAGCAGTACGCAGCACTTGAGCCAAAGGTCAAACAGGCTGTTCATCATAACGAAGTAACACAGTACAAATTTGAACCCGAATGGGAGCAAAGCATGAAAAAAATGTCTGTGCCAAAACTGGGACATATTCTGACACTTGATCCGGTAAAGGCAACAGAAATTGTCACGTACAAGGGAGAAATCAACGTTCATTCACCAGCAGTAGATAGGGAATTTTGTAATATAAAAGGAATGTGCATTCTTTCAACACAGTTGCTAGTTGCTGCTGACCAACAAAACAATTCCCTCAAACTACTGGACAGAGAGCAAGGCAAACTGGTGTCAACCATTCCGATGCCGACTGGACCCAGAGATGTGACAACAATTAAGGGCACTCAAATTGCTGTCACCCTGCCAAATATGAAAGTAATCAAAATATTGACCTTGTCTAGCGACGGCACTGTTTCTAATGATTCTTTCATACCAGTTCATGGAGCATGCCGCGGAATTATCCACAATAATGGAATATTTATTGTTTCGTTTGGCTTTCCAAAAAGTGAAATTAAAATTATAGACATGAATGGAACAGTAATAAAGAACATGGACATTAGACGTAATCCAGAGAGCCAATCTAGCCTGGCAGGCCTGGGTATGAGCCCTGATCAAAAAATGATCTACGTTGCTGACGAGGACAATGGATCTGTCACTTGCTTGACAACCTCCGGAAAGGTCAAGGCCATTTATAAAAATCCTAATTTTGAAAGGCCTCGAGGAGTGGCAGTAGCTAGCAATGGGCTTGTTTATGTAACAGGAAAAGGTAAAGTTCACGAACTGTCACCTAACCTCGGTCACGGGAGAATTGTGATGGATCGTAGTCATGGAATCAATTTCATACAAAGTCTACTGTACTGTGAACAAGAGAATCTACTCTACGTAGGAATGATTGCTCAAAACACAATAAAGAAATTCCATATTGAATAAAAAAAGTATTTTACAAAATTGTTCAACAAATTCACAACATGCTTAATTCTATCCAGTTTGCAACAATTTGTATATACAAGCTTATTAGCCATTACAAATTAAAACTGTTGGACAAAGTTGAACAAACATTATTTTTGTTATCTATGCAATGGTGATTCAGATGTTAATATTCCATACAGTGTATATCAGGGGTTTATACATATGCAAGTAATTTCACATGATAATGTCCATACCCCATAGGTGCCAAGCCCATATTTCCTTATATGGCAACAAAACCAGGAATGACTAGGAAGTAAACTGAAGTGTGAGTTAAATCACATAAGCTATCCTGACAACCTAAAACAAATGTTGCTACTAATGTAGGGGTTAAAGCAGTATGCCTATACCTAAACTAACTTCCCAAAGTCAACTTGCCTAATGCTGGAACATTTTTCTGCATACAGCCCGTTATAAGAAAGTATCAGTAATCATAATCTATGATGTATATGTTATTATATAATACATGTATATTGTTATCATTTGTAAATAAATATACTTTGTATTATTATTCATTAAATTTTCTAAAATGGGACTTTTAATCAATGCATATATCGGATATCAAGTCAACTTAAGTGGCTGTGTATCAGGTATTATCATATCCTATTTTCAACTCTGATAACTGCATTGTATCTATAAAACTTTAACCTATTAATATAAATATGATATTGTAATACTAGTATAAGGGTTTTCACATTATTACAGAGCCAAGCCAGCATGCACATCCTGATGTCTGACCAGACTCTATACTGTTGGTTGACTAACTTCAATTTTTCATCTTGATATCCCCCAAAAAATTGGAAGTAGGACAAGTCAGTTTAAGAAATTGAGCAAATTAAGGGCTCAATAATAGAACATTTAATTAGAACTTGAACTATTTCCTAATGCTAAGCATGTAACACTTCACTTCACATATTTCAAACTATTTCCTAATGCTAAGCATGTAACATTTCACTTCACATTTTTTAAACTATTTCCTAATGCTAAGCATGTAACACTTCACTTCACATATTTCAAACTATTTCGTAATGCTAAGCATGTAACACTTCACTTCACATATTTCATTTTAGCTTGTATGTGAATAAAGCTTGAAGCTTAAACATCAGTCATTTGTAACCCTGTAGACCTTTAGTCTGTTCCAACACTGACATGTCAATACAGACATTAAATTCTCAATGTCCAATACCAATTGTCATGGAGAAATTTCACCTTGTTCGAGGATCAAACCAGCAACACCTTGATTACAAATTCTGATGCTCACCTAGTTGAATTAAGCAGGTGTAAATATGAAACAACACTTAAAGCAAGAAAGACTGGTCTTAATGACACGTCAATTAATGTGCACAACAGTGAATCGCGTAAAAATGCTTTTTATCGTGTTCTTCCTTCATATAATTGTATATGTTATAAAGGGTATAAAGCTATATGCAATGAAATATTTTCATTAAATTTAAAAGGAATAATGGCTCATCTGAATAGAATTATAATGACATTGAGTTGAAACATCAATTTTACAAATTTAAATTTGCTCTACAACTGGGCCTCAGATATTGTGGGAACATGTAAATGTTTTCAGTATTGAGCCTTTCAAGAGGAAGTGGCTTCTGAACTCTTATTGGCTGTTATTGAAAGGGATAAGATTGCCAACTTTAAACCACTTAGCTTACTCCCTCAGTTCTTTTCCAAAAACAGAGGCAAATTGTGTCAGGGCTAGGATAAATCACAGCTTTCCTTCTTTAGTTTTAATGTGATAGCATATTTTGTACATAATAAAACTATTTTTAATATATAAATACTACTGTAATTTATTACAAAACAATGTTTGGAAGGTACACTCTTCATCAGATATCATTTGGAATGAATTATTCTTCACTGGTTTGACTGTATTTATACTTTAGTTTTATGTAAACAGAGGACCATGATGGCCCTTATATGGCTTGCCTAATAATAAAGACTCTTTATAACAAGGAACAATTCATATTTATAAATTAAAAGCATATAGTCTTAATCTTAAACTGATATCAGTTAATATCTGCATCTTAAATAGCGCACATGTAAAATGTTACTGGTTGCTATTGCTAAGGAAAGTCAATTTTTACTACAGAAGTAACTGATTGCTATACAAAATCATTGGATTCTCTGGAAGTCAGTGGTTGCTATGGAAATTTACTGTTTGCCATTGAAAGTCAATTGTTGCTATGTGAAGTCAATAACTGCTATAAAGTACAATTGTTGCTTTGGAAAGTCAATGGTTGCTTTGGAAATCACAGGTTGCTATGTAAAGTTGATGGTTGTTTTGGAAGTCACTTGTTGTTATGGAACTGACTGGTTCCTTTGGAAAGTCACTGGTTTCTATGGAAATCAATGGTTGCTATTGAAATTACTGTAGGAAAGTCAATAGTTGGCATGAAAGTCATTTGGACCCCAGGGTTATAATTAGAACAAACTTGGTAGAGGTTCTCTAGACAATGTTGCATGCCAAATATCTAAGCTTTAACATTTATGGTTTTAGAAAAGTAGAATGTTTAAGTTTATACTATATACATACACAGGAACTTGAAATTCCATTAAATAACCAATATTAATGATAATATCCAAATATACCCCCTATATACTATAAATAAACATGTTTATTTATACTGTATATGGGGTATATTTTGGATATTATCATTAATATTGATAGAATTTCAAGTTCCTGTGATACATAATATCATATAAGTAAAATTCAGACCCCAGGGTATTGTCCCCACAGTGCACTGTCACTTAATGAACATATTTCTTCCGTTTCTTTTAAACTGGTCAATTACATTATAATGTTATCTCTAATTTATTTTGATTTGATAAGTTATCTTTAGTGTCTACCTGTATTATTCTTTTCTTTTTAAATTGATTATACATGTATAAAACATCAATCAGGAAGTTAAAATTAACAATAAAGAGCTATATCTTTTACAGAATGATTACACATAGATAAATATGATGTGACTATGACGCATAATATACTGAAAACAATACAAGCTAAAGATAAATATGGATGTAAATTGTATGGTTTATCCGTTCAGTTGATTGTGTTCTAAAATCTTAATCATGACCATGACTCATCAGTTGAGATAAATTAACAAAGATGACATATAATGAAAAGGAACAATATATTTAGAATGGGGGAAAAGCAACCTGTGAATAGGAATAAATAATACAAGTTTCCCACCACAGAATGTAATTAAAACAATTGGAACAGAGCCCTTCCTTTTCTCAGTTTGACTGTTTAGAAGTTATACTCTGGACAAGCATTGTCAAAAAAATATATAAAGGAAGAATAACTCAGAAAGATACATGTAATTAAAAAATCAAGCAATCAATAGAATTGTGGTTCTTTGACACTGCAGCATCTGCCCTACCCTACAGTTCACTATTATGTATCACTGTCTGAAGTTTTAATCAAATTCCTCCAAAATTTTCAAATTATATTCTGGAAGTATTATAAGGGGAGATAATTAAGCATTTAAAAGTGAAGTTTCTTTGACACTGCACTTGTCTTCATCTTTCTAGTCTTCAATAAGATATTGATAGTTTAGAAATTATACTCCAGACAAGCATTATTTAACATTTTTTAATAACAAAAAAGAAGACAATTTAAATACAAAGCAAGATAAAATTATGGTTCTTTGACAACTTCCTTTCACTGGTATCTATCACGGTTTCACCATGTAAAGTTATAATCAAATTACTCCACAATACTTTTAAGTTATTCTCTAGGCAAGCATTATTAAGTTTTATAAAAGGATACAAGCATTATTAAATGTTATAAAGGGAGATAATTTTAAAAAACTAAGCTATGCAGAGTTAAAATTACATTACACAGAACAATTTAAATTCTTTAAATTTTGACATTAGCAATTTTTTTTAACATAACTTACACTCCTTTCCCTCCATTATGGAAATCCTGGTAATGACCGGGTTGCATTTATTCCAGGGGTGCATTTATTAAAGAATATACAGTATGTTATATCTCTCAACAAAGAGTAAAAAATTGTTCCCATGTTATATAACTCAACAAAGTATTAATATTACATTGTTTCTATGTTAGATAATTGCCATGCGTCTTACTCCCTTAATATCAGCTTACTCAAATTTTGGCACTATTTTCTTAATTTCAAACCGTTGCAACATAGAATACATAAATTTTATTTTTTCCATATATTATAAATTATGTTGGTTAAAGTACCTTTAACTACAAAAATCATCAAGTATGGATATTGCATCTTTACTATGAATATATGATAAAACCTTGACGAAAAATGGGCATGCGTAATTAAGTCAAGTATCAAAATTCCCTTAAAGTTTATAATTGCTTTTTATAGGAACACTGGGAATACATTTATTATATCACTTTATCAGTTCATAGAATATAAACTTTCTGTTTCAATTTTATTTCACCACAACTTAGATAAACCTGTTTCATTATGTACCAGATATAATTACCAGTGATAAGTGAAGTAAGTTGACAATTAAATTAAAGCTTGAGAGGGAAAAACAAATATAAAGTGAAAAGGAGTATTAAAACATGGCGTTTTTCATGTCAAGATTTGGAAAACATAATGAAGATGAACATGAAAATGGTTCCGATGATGTACGTGAGGGGTGTAGGGCGTGTAACAAATGTTTCATACGAGGACATAAACACAATGCTGTATCATTCTGTCCATCGTGTTACATTTTTCTGTGTCAGGCATGTACCACAGACCATAAGCAGAGAATACAAGATCACGGTCTGATTACTGATGATTTTGAACTATGCGAGGAATATGTTAAACTGAAAAAACAAATCAACTACGCCACCATTGAGCTAACGCAAACTGGTAATGAAGCTGACAATGAAGCATACTTAGCCGAGTTATACAGGGACAAGGCAATTGAAGAAATACATAACGAGAGGGAAAAGATTAATATAATGTTAGATAAAGAAAAGATCAGAATCAATAGTGAACTAGACGAAATGGAGACAAAAATAAAAACAAGAATACTTGAAAAATACACAAAAGATTTTGAGAAGTTCAAGTCCGTTAAAGAAGAAGCAGAATCGGTAAAAAAAGACATACAAACGTTAAATCAAACTTACAAGTCTCTGCAACAGATGCCAAGTAATATTTCAAATATAGTGGCAACTTGCCAAGAGCAGTATTCAGCACTAAAGCCAAAGGTCAAACAGGCTGTTCATCATAACGAAGTTACACAGTACAAATTTGAACCCGAATGGGAGCAGAGCATGAAAAAGATGTCTGTGCCAAAACTAGGACATATTCTGACACTTGATCTTGTTAAGGCAACAGGAATTGTCACGTACAAGGGAGAAATCAACGTTCATTCACCAGCAGTAGATAGGGAATTTTGTAATATAAAAGGAATGTGCATTCTTTCAACACAATTGCTAGTTGCTGCTGACCAACAAAACAATTCCCTCAAACTACTGGACAGAGAGCAAGGCAAACTGGTGTCAACCATTCCGATGCCGGCTGGACCCAGAGATGTGACAACAATTAAGGGCACTCAAATTGCTGTCACCCTGCCAAATATGAAAGTAATCAAAATATTGACTTTGTCAAGCGACGGTACTGTTTCTGATGATTCTTTCATACCAGTTCATGGAGCATGCCGCGGAATTATCCACAATCATGGAAAATTTATTGTTTCATTTGACTTTCCAAAAAGTGAAATTAAAATAATAGACGTGAATGGAACAGTAATAAAGAACATGGACATTAGACGTAATCCAGAGAGCAAATCTAGCCTGGCAGGCCTGGGTATGAGCCCTGATCACAAAATGATCTACGTTGCTGACGAGGACAATGGATCTGTCACTTGCTTGACAACCTCCGGAAAGGTCAAGGCCATTTATAAAAATCCTCATTTTGAAAAGCCTCGAGGAGTGGCAGTAGCTAGCAATGGGCTTGTTTATGTAACAGGAAAAAGTAAAATTCACGAACTGTCACCTAACCTCGGTCACGGGAGAATTGTGATGGATCGTAGTCATGGAATCAATTCCATACAAAGTCTACTGTACTGTGAACAAGAGAATCTATTCTACGTAGGAATGATTGCTCAAAACACAATAAAGAAATTCCATATTGAATAAAAAAAGTATTTTACAAAATTATTCAACTAATTCGCAACCTGTTTAGTTCTATCCGGTTTGCAACAATTTGTATATACATGTACAAGCTCATTAGTCATTAATACAAATTAAAAACTGTTAATTATTTAATTATTACATTATATTGCTATTAACTTTTGGACAAAGATGAACAAACATTATTTGAGCCGTGTCACAACATAACCAACAAAATGCGTTTGCGACCAGCATGGATCCAGACCAGCCTGGGCATCCGCGCAGTCTGATCAGGATCCATGCTGTTCGCTTACCAACTCTATTACAAGTAGAGAAACTGATAGCAAACAGCATGGATCCTGATCAGACTGCGCGGAGGCGCAGGCTGGTGTGGATCCATGCTGGTCGCAAACACACTATGTTGGTTTTGTCGTGACACGGCTGACATTTTTGTTATTTATGCAATGGTAATTCAGATGTTAATACTTCATACAGTGTATATCAGGGGTTTATACACATGCAAGTAATTTCACATGATAATGTCCATACCCCATAGGTGCCAAGCCCATATTTCCTTATATGGCAACAAAACCAGTAATGACTAGGAAGTAAACTGAAGAGTGAACTAAATCACATAAGCTATCCTGACAACCTAAAACAAATGTTGCTTCAAATGTTGAGGTTAAGCAGGATATCTTGTAAAGCAGCATACCTATACCTAAACTTACTGCCTAAAGTCAACTGGCCTAGTGCTCGAACATTTTTCCGCAAACAGCCAGTAATAAGAAAGTATCAGTTATCATAATCTATGATGTATATGTTATTATAATATAATGTTAAATTTGTAAATAAATATACTTTGTATTACTATTCATTAAATTTTCTAAAATGGGATTTTTGATCAATGCATATATCGGATATCAAGTCAACTTAAGTGGCTGTGTATCAGGTATTATCATATCCTAATTTCAACTCTGATAGCTGCATTGTGTCTATAACAATTTAAACTATTAATATAAAATATGATATTATAATACAAGGGTTTTCACATTATTAAAGAGCCAGGCCAGCATGCACAACCTTATGTCTGACCAGACTCTATACTGTTGGCTGACTAAATTTTCTAAATTTTTTATCATGATATCCCCCAGAAAATTTGAAGTAGGTCAAGTCAATTTACGACATTCAGCAAATTAAGGGCTCAATAATAGAACATTTAATTAGAACTTGAACTATTTCCTAATGCTAAGCATGTAACACTTCACTTCACATATTTCAAACTATTTCCTAATGCTAAGCATGTAACACTTCACTGCACATATTTCATTTTAGCTTGTATGTGAATAAAGCTTGAAGCTTAAACATCAGTCATTTGTAACCCTGTAGACCTTTAGTCTGTTCTAGCACTGACATGTCAATACAGACTTTAAAGTCTCAATGTTCAAATGTCATGGAGAAATTTCACCTTGTCGACGGGTCAAACCATCAATGATGCTCACCCAGTTGAATTAAGCAGGTGTAAATATGAAACAACAACTAAAGCAAGAAAAACTGGTCATTACGATAAGTCAATAATGTGCAATCAGGCGAATCACATAAAAATGCTTTTTATCGTGTGTTAATTATTTTAGGTTTTTCAAAGTTTATTTATGTTGGAATTCAAAGGGATGTTTATAAGATGGAGGAGGAAGAAAAATTCTCTGCAATAATAAAATAAAAACCATATTTCAAAAAGAAATGTCATTAAGACTGGTTTTCTCGATGTGCCAATATAGTCATGTACATGTATATATTGCGAATATATTGCAAATATATTAAAGAATACTCTTAGGACTGAGAGAAATTTGTATAATACACTCTTCACATAGGTTGTTTTATATATGTAATTAAAATGTTATAAACAGATTATTGTTATTCTTTTGTTATTCTTCATTTAATTGTATATGTTTTAAAGCATATAAAGCTATATGCCATGGAATATTTTCATAAAATTCAAAAGGAATAATGGCTCATCTGAATAGAATTATAAAGACATTGAGTTGAAACATCAATTTTACAAATTTAAATTTGCTCAACAACTGGGCCTCAGATATTGTGGGGACATGTAAATGTTTTCAGTATTGAGCCTTTCAAGAGGAAGTGGCTTCTGAACTCTTATCGGCTGTACCTGAAAGGGATAAGATTGCCAACTTTAAACCATTTAATCCCTCAGTTCTTTTCCATAAACAGAGGCAAATTGTGTCAGGGCTAGGGTAAAAGAAAATATGTTTAAATGAAAACAAATTGATCACAGCTTTTCTTCTTTAGTTTTAATGTGATAGCATAGTTTGTACAATATAAAACTATTTTTAGACTACCGTATAAATACTGCTGTCATTTATTACAAAACAATGTTTGGAAGGTACGCTCTTCGTAAGATATCATTTGGAATGAATTATTCTCATCCTACAAACCATTGGAATTTAATGCTTAACATATAACTTGTAAATCTTGTTCACAAAAAAATGTTACCCAACTGAAATACTGTGATATATATACTATGTATATGATGTCAAAAATTTTAATACTGATAATATTTTTTTGGAATTTATTTAAATCTTACCACCCTAAATATCTTAAATGGACTTTTCAATCTTTCAATCTGGACAAGGCCATTTATCATTTTTAGGGTAAATTTCAAAATATGAACTGACTGAATAGCTAACAGTGCAGTCCATGATAAGACAACAAGTCTGTGCTGTGTGATTTTGATCTGCACTGAATGCAAGGGTATACAATGTATTTAGTTTGCCCAAACAAAAAGCAGACGTACCTATAAAGTCGACAAAAATTAGTCCATAGACTTGGTAGACATTCATATTAAAAAGATATGACATTACCAGTTTCAAAATATGGATCAGAATCGAAAAGCTAGGATAAAATGTCATAAAACGGCTTGAAAATTCTTAGATAAAAGGATAACGACTTAAAATTTCAGATATATAAAGGTCTATTCTAATGTTGTCACAAGTTTTCAATAAAAATATAAGCATTAATATGTATCTATATATTACACACATGTAATATCACATTCACATAGCAGGAATTATATCCATTTGTTTGATATTCATTTCTGGTTTACTAGGAATCTAAAATTACCTTCTTTTATAATGCTGACGAGTTTGACAATAGCCAATGTTACAATCTATATTTAACTTAATGTACAACAAATAATTTTCAACATATTTCTTGCATGTGTTATTAAATTCAACTGGGTCTTTTTAAAATGACATTTTTGTTGAATTAACTTCACAAAAGATAACATGAAATAATAGAATGTTTCAGGCACTTTTATAATATTATTATATGTATATGTAAAAGAAAAATACTAGAAAATATAAATATTTCAAGTTTTGGCTTGAAAACAACAATACTAATGTTCTTTTTGTTAGCAAAAAAATGTGTATGCAAATAACTTTCATTTACATCATTACTAATGTTTATTTGCCATTATGATTTCATTTTAAAATGATCGGCATATAATTTTATGAGAAAATCCAATTATTTACTTGATTTACTAACAGTTTTCTTGTTCTAGCATTTTTAAATAATTAGTTTTTTAACCATTTAGTTTCAAATAGTTTTTAATTGATTAATTTTATTTATTTCTATGTGTATATAGGTAAGCGAGAAAAAAAATTACTACAACAACAACATTATCAGATTTTCAATCCATTCTAAATACATGCATGTGTTCAAATTAAAAATTCACAACCTAATGGTTTATAGACCAGTGTTAACACAACACTGATTTATACTTTATTTATTTTAAGCTGCATGCCTTCAAATGAGCCAAAATATTTCAAGAAAATTAAACTTGCGAAAAATGTACTAAAATTTTAAGAAAAGTAAAAAGATTCAAGTATTAATTCACATTTCATGTGTGATTAATCACCGACTTTTGCATTATTTATCCCCATATTTTTACTTTGTGACTTACAGTAATGTCTATATTTCCATATTTTGACCTCTCTTTTTAAAATTACCTATACTGTAATAGGCGTTTTCAGTGTGTCATTTCATTTCTTTGTTCACTTCACAAAACAATGTATTTTACTTTTAATTAAATACATTTTCCAAAATTTCAATGATAATTAGCATTAAACTGAAGGCATGCTGCTTTAAACATTAATTAACTTAATCAATGAATAAAATAGAATTATCAATAACTGTCTTTTACTAAACATTATGCTATATGAATAATAAAGCGATAACCTACAATATTTGCCCAACATTTGGACAAGGAAATCATCAAATGATGCATCACTTTTTGTTTAGTTTTAAGAACAACCTGTAAGCCATTTAAGTACACATCACATGAAAAAAAAAACAAAAAAAACATAGGGAATTGTTCTATATATAAAATGTTCATTCATGAAAAAAAAATCCCTGATTTTAATCTATTGCTGAAAACTGGCCTGGTTGAATACTGTAAATATTGAGCAATGGTTTACGTGAACTGTAATGTTTTTTACTTGAATTGTAATATTTAAAATGTAAAGTCCTAATTCTAGCTTATGCTGAAACCATAACTAAAAAGTCAACAGTAAAGAGCCAGGGCAGTCTAGAGACAAGACTCTATACTGTTGCCTGACCCGCTTACAAATTTTCTTGTGATATCCGTTATAAAGATAACTAATTGAGCATAAAATACAATTCTTGATTCTTTCCCCCTACTCCTCTAAGCTTAATCATCATTTGAGCCGCGTCACGACAAAAACAACATAATGCGTTTGTGACCAGCATGGATCCAGACCAGCCTGCGCATCCTCGCAGTCTGATCAGGATCCATGCTGTTTGCTATCAGTTTCTTTACTTGTTATAGGGTCTGTAAGCGAACAGCATGGATCCTAATCAGACTGTGCGGATGCGCAGGCTGGTCTGGATCCATGCTGGTCGCAAACCCATTATGTTGGTTTTGTTGTGACGCGGCTTATTTAATTCTAGTATCTCAAGTATGCCATATATGCCTGAAAAGGAAGCCCTAATAAAGGGGACCTATACCAATGAAACTTATTAACACTATTATATATAATAAAACATGAACAAATTGATGAAATACAGTACTGATTGAAATGTACATGTATCTGTATTAAATAAATTTGTCTGAGAGAAACAAATATGAGCAATTGACTTCCAGCCAACAAGTATTGGCCAGAAGAGGGGCATGGAATTGTCTAAGGTTCTACAGAATGAATTTGAAAAATGTCCATGTACATTTATGCATAGATCCCTACATGACACTAATCTTTCCAATTTGAATTATCATATTAGTCAGATTAGTGAATTATAATAAGAATTTCACCACAAAATAATTCTTAACAAAAGAGCATATGTCAATGCTTTAGGTCAAATCTATTGTTATTCAAATAAAAAGTCATAGTAGGGATCTATCAATACTTAAGGTTATAGATTAAATATGTTTAACAATATGGAATAGCACTTTTGACCTACATTACAACTGCCAATTTCTCAGAAAGGTTATAGAAAATAGTTTATAGATTACAGTAATATATATACGTTAAAAATGCCCTTCAAAGACTAACTCAGATATGTATATTTTGACTTAGTATGATAAAAATTATATAAATAGTAAAAACTATGAAGTCAACTGCATTTTCTTAAAATTCACTTTAATATACCATTTATCAGGTTTTTCTTTAAGTATCTAATTTTCACTATATTTGTGTGCAATGAATATTGCGAAAGTTCAGATACAGTAAGCAAATATACTAAAACAAAAAAGAAACTTTCACATTCTCCAAGTTTGGATGTAGATATGTTAGTACAGTTTTTCAATCCTTTTGAAACTCGATTTTTACGTTGAATAAACATATCGGGCTTTTATACGGGGATAAGCTGACCGATTTTGCAAACACAATGAGTTTTGCAAGCTACTACATGTATATAAGTGTGTACATCTAAGTCGTACCCTTGAACAACTGGCACATACTTTGCGAAAGTTTCTTTTTTGGTTCAGTATAGGTATTTTTGTTAACACTTAATTCAACCAATTGTCTGATATCATAACACAATTCACACCATGCAAAATTTCGGCTGAACAGCCTTCTTCCAGGTATGATAAACTTTCTAATTGCAGAAATTGAACATTTATAAATGACATACCGAGTTTAAAACTGTTCATTTTTCTATAATAATAAAATAAATGCAAAGAAATACAAGTTAGGAACACCATCTTTTGATTTGACAGGAGTTTTAGTGTTTCTTTCTTGCTTTGTCTCCACAAATAAAAGCCAACTTCCCCACATTATTAATTATTGGTAAAGAAAGTATTATAGAATATATGTATAATGTCATAAAATGAAATTTTGATTGAAGACAAAAATTAATATCCCTCTGATAATGTTGAAATATTAATTAAAGCTGCATGCCTCCAGATTAGCCAAAATATTTCAAGAAAATCAAACTTGACAAAACTAGAACTGTGTCCAAAGGACACGGATGCCCCCACTGACAACATAAATATGGTATATAGTGAAAAAATCAACAAAGGGCCATAATTCTGTTAAATTTGGTCGCAGCAAAAATTCCTTCCTTTACTTCCATCTACACATTAAGGTTGTTCATCCCTTGAAGTTTAAGCAAAATCTGCCATCCGGTTTAAGAGGAGTTGCGTTCACAATATTTCTATATGGTATATAGTGAAAAAATCAACAAAGGGCCATAATTCTGTTAAATTTGGTCGCAGCAAAAATTCCTTCCTTTACTACCATCTACACATTAAGGTTGTTCATCCCTGGAAGTTTAAGCAAAATCTGCCATCCGGTTTAAGAGGAGTTGCGTTAACAAAATTTCTACATAGTATATAGTGAAAAAATCAACAAAGGGCCATAATTCTGTTAAATTTGGTCGCAGCGAAAATTCCTTCCTTTACTGCCATCTACACATTAAGGTTGTTCATCCCTGGAAGTTTAAGCAAAGTCTGCCATCCGGTTTAAGAGGAGTTGAGTTCACAAGATTTTGGGACGTACGGACAGATGGACGTACGGACGTACAGACGGACGTACGGACGGACAGACAAGTGCAACGCTATATGCTCCCACTTTGTGGGGGCATAAAAATGTTAAGAATCTAAGCAAGATAAGTAAAAGAATTCAAATTTCAAGTAATAACCTTAGTACAATATTAAATGTGATTAATGACTAATTTTGTAGTATAAATCAAGCACATTTCTACTGCGTAACTTACAAAGTAAGGGCTATTCTTACATAATCTGACCTCTTTGTTGTAATTTCATTGGATTGGAAAAAATAATGCTTTGTTCTCTTCAATAAAGTTTACTTTTAAATACAGTTTAAAAATGTTCATGAAAACTAGCATCAATCTTGAGGCATGCTGCTTTAAAGGACAATCTGAAGAAAAACTTATCTACATCAAGAAAAATCATGACTAGTAATTAATTAATGGTTTTACAACAATACATACAATTATATGAAATAATTCTAAAAATTACTTAAATTTTACAAGAGACCTGAAATACATTGTTTACTTGTAACACTGGATTTGTTCAATTAGATATAGCAGTTTGCTACTGTCAACAAATTTTCTAAAGGCCTTTCCTTGTATTCAAATTACCATTAAAGTGAATTGGTCTGTAAAGAAATGAATAATTACTTTAATGGAATTTCATAATAGACATAACAACAAACCACGAAAGAATTATACATTGTACATGGAAGTTGTTGGTAAATGTGAGATACACAATGGGGTATTTCATATATTTATTTATCACATACCCATGTTGCTTTTTGCGTAAAAATAGAATTGTATGGACATGCATATATTTTGACGTGAGGTCATTTGCGTTATATAAAGTTAGTGTTTAGACTCGCTAAATGTTAGCTTTATACTAAAGGCACGTCAATGAAAAATGTTACTTTTTCACTTCGAAAGGTCTTTCCTTTGGTATGTGATAAATAGAATATCAAATTTGTGTAAGGTCATTACTGAATTTATTGAACTTGTTGAATAAAATGATATTTTGCTCGCCAGAGGTTGCATAATATAATTTTATTCAACTCATTCCATAAATTCAGTCTTAAACCTACACTCATGCAATATCCTCTTTATAACAAAAAATAAAATGTTCTAGAACAAAATATTATTATGTTCATTCTACATCACTTAGAACTTCATCAACATTTTTTTCAAGAAACATTTCATAAGATTAAACATATGTTACATTTCTATTGTTTTTATCAATATATGAAATAATTAAGGAAACTGCGCCAATTGTAAACCTATCCACTTTATCTTTTTAATGTACACATAAATTATGATATAATAGCACCTTATTACAACACCAAACAAGCTTTTATAAAAACAAATCTATCGACCATATTTCTTATGTTTAAAATAAGTCTGAAAAAACATGATCAATAAAATATATTCATAAAAATTAAAATGGAAGACTTATAAACAGTAATATACCAGTAATGTACTAGTATAATATGCCAGTAACATGTTAGTAATATACCAGTAACATGTCATATAACAGAAATATATCAGTAATGTTCTAATTATATACCAGTAATTTACCTGTATTATGCTAGTTATATAGTAATATATCAGCAACATGCCAGCTTTATACCAGTTACATGCAAGTAACATACCAGAAACATACTAGTAATATATCAGTAATGTACCAGTAATATACGAGGGTTGTCACAAGATTGTTTAAAAGCTAGATAAAATAGGTACGAATTTGATATTTTACTATGTTATAGACTCATATTATTGAAACATTTTCACAAATTTACATAGAAAAATATCAACAAACAACAAACATATGCCGTAAATACCATGGCAACTATCTGAATCGTGGCGCGCGTCAAACGTCAAAGACCGTGTTAAATCTATATAAGGCGCCTTTCTCAAATACATGAAATACTCTCAATGGCTTTCAATGCAAAATAATGGTGCAGCTTTACCCATAAATCGTCAATTACAGACTTAAATCATGTGGTTGTTAATGTCTATTGAATGTTTGGATGGCATGCATAAATTTTGGCTATACGCGAACTTCCAGTCCCGTTGCACCTGCTTTTAGCTGTAGGAAATAGGCGATGGAGATTGGTCTTCCTTTTCGTGTCTTCCTTATTTTCGCTTTTTGTAGTGCAGAACTCTTGTTCTGTTCATGCATGTAGTAAACAAATGCTCAGGATATGTTGCTAAACTGTTCTATTTGGTATATTTGTTGAAAATCGTAACAAGTGTCATCTCGAAATAGTCACGAAACCTGAGTGATCTGTTCACTGCACCGCAAATTCTTCCAACGTCGCCATTTTAACTTTCCTATTTTCTACGAGATATTTTCATTTATCTGTAGCATGTTCGTTTCTTAAGTTATTTAACTAAAATTTTCTGAGATAATGTAAACATAGCAGCAGAGGAAGTCAACGTGTCATTGTGCAGACACATAATCAGATATTTGAAATATACGTAATTAATTTTAGCCTATTCATAACAAAATGTAAATTATTTGACGTGCGCCTGCAACTCAAACCAATGTTGTTCATACTGAAATTTCTAAGTAACTAGAGTAAATATTTTATAAATGATTTGTTGTAATGTTAAATAATAAACTTAACGGTTAAATGTGTGAATTATTATTTATTGGCGTTAAAAATGAACCGTCTATAAAATTTGTCACAGACTTTTGGGACAACCTTCGTACCAGTAATGTTCTAGTAATATAACAGAAATATACCAGTACAGTACTAGTAAAGAGATGTAGATGTTATCTATGTCTCTGACTAGTAATATGACGGTCACATGTTAGTTAAGTACCAGAAATAAACAAGTAATATATCAGCCATATACTAGTAATGTACTAGTAATACACCAGAAATATCCTACAACACAAAGGTTCAACACAAAAGCAAAACTTACATAATGACAAAAATGAGGAATATTGAACTACATCTCAGGGATATGTCTGATAATCAAATTATTCATTTCTTAAACTTTCATAAAGGCCCTTTATGAATTAATATCAACAACTTAATTTTTCAAAATTTGGTTTATAGTTACATGTATTTCTTTTCTAAAATGCCGAAAAAAATCCCTGAAATTTCAAAGATGAAGGTTGTATTTAAAGTGCATACCAAACACTGTATTTATCAAGCTAGGCATACATATATATATACATCTATTTTGGTTTAAATGATGCTGAAAGCACATAAATTCACATGGATGATGACTGCAAAGACAATGTCTTAATTCTTACATATATAAAACTAGTAAAAATTGATGGGCTTAATATATTTTACCTAAATTTGAGAAATAATTCCCTTTTTTTTATTACATGTAGTTGTTGCTTTTTTTACAAACCTCACAAAGCAAAATAGAGCATACATATCATGATTAAAAGCAAATCAATTGTCGTACACAGGTAAAAGCTTAACAATTCCGGGTATTTTATAAAACATAATATTCAAATAATATACTGGGCATAGTTTAAATTGATTGCTGTTAACAGTTTTATGTAAGGCACATTGTTGTTGTTTTTTTTTGGTAAAATCATAAAAGTTTATAAAAGGCACCATCTTGTCTATAATACTTTGGCGTTTTTTTTTGGCTTGCATGTTTTTTCTTCTCTCGCGAGCTGTTTCATCTTTTAGAAAGGGTCATTGAACGTGTAGTACTTGTGATCCTTAGCTCTGAAACATACAAATATAATAAGGTGAGTTTGGTATAGTCAATGATTGAGTAAAACGTTAAAAATATCAGAAAACCCTGAAAACTTTTAGTTTAGTATTATTTCAATTATGTTTTATGTAGAAAAATAGCTTTCAAGAGTAGGAAAAATTGAACTTCTGGCAAATGCCTAAAAACTTCTACAAAACTTACACCTTGGTCTTCAATGATTCTCATTGGAAGCATTGGATTCATTTTTAGAGCTTACCCAACTCAGAACATGAAATGAGCCGCGTCACGACAAAACCAACGTAATGCGTTTGCGACCAGCATGGATCCAGACCAGCCTGCCCATCCGCGCAGTCTGATCAGGATCCATGCTGTTAGCTTACAGACTCTATTACAAGTAGAGAAACTGATAGCGAACAGCATGGATCCTGATCTGACTGCGCGGAGGCGCAGGCTGGTCTGGTTCCATGCTGGTCGCAAATGCACTATGTTGGTTTTGTCGTGACACGGCTCAAATTATATAAATAGATAACACAAGATTGAAATTATTACTTTATAAATTTTGAATCTTTTTACAATTTTCTCAAGTCTGATTTTCTTTGAGGCATGCAGCTTTAACAATATAACTGAAGTAGAATTGAAAGCAATGGCAAAGAGCCAATAATTCATTAACTACATACAAAAGGATATTCAGATAACAAAAATTCAATTCAAGTTGACATTGGATTATCTGTGGCTTCACATGACCAAATCATAAATTTGAAGAAATTTAAGTTTATACACCATACATTGGATATACATGGATAATATAATGGATACATAGAGGATATTTGTTTTGTTCAGTGTAAGATCGGAATATATTTCACCGAGTGAGCACCAAAAGGTATATTTCACGAGTGGCGCAGCCACGAGTGACATATGAACTTTTGGTGTTCACAAGGTGAAATATATTTCGATCTTACACTAAACTAAACAAATTTTCTTTTTATTATATGCAAAGAGACGTTTTAATAAGACATTAAACCTAATACTGAATGAAAAGCGTGCCAAATAATAATACAACGTGACGTCATTTACGACGTCACGTCATTAAGTTGGTTCCCAGTACTGTGCACGCTGGTATTTCACTGAAACAACGTAAGGGGCTTAAATTCAAAACAGTGAAATTATCAAATTGATAATTTCACTGTTTAAAACCAGTTTTATATCACTGATATATTTCTATAAACCACCGAAAAGCATGTAATAATATAATTTTACTTTAATCAAGTTTTCAAATTACTGTTGCTCAATAAACTAAATAACATAAAATGTTCAACAAAAATAACATTATCGCATGAATTCCCTTGTTTTTAAAATGTTATAACATGAAATTCTGTTTAAAATAATGGCTATTATTTAAGAACATATACATACATTGATAGCTACATGTATAGAATAATGTACAAGACACTCAATTTATCATTCCCTCCTTAAAAAGTATATATTTTCCCTTAAATATAAACCTTCAAAGTTCCTTTTTTTACATTTTTACCTGCCTTTATCACCCAAAAGCAATAAACCACCCAAAAGCAATAAACCATTAACAAAAAAATGAGTGTTATCACTATTATATGTATGTTAAGAAAACATTGCCCGAAATCCCCCATACAAGGAAAAACAACATGAAAATTTCCCTTCTACAGTTATAGTTAACCAAAATCACAGAGACAGCCCTGATGTATTATGAACAAAATCCAACCCAACATTCATATACTTTCTAATCCTGTTATTTAGTTGAAAGAAACTCTCTCCTGAACTGATTTCATGATTTTTTTTTTTAGTAACAACTCAGTACAGATTCTATAAATACAAAATAAATGAAAGTTGTGAAAAGCATGGAGGATTATAATAAGTGTTAACTTAAACGGATACAATGTGATTACATATTTTATATTTCTAACAGCAGCAATTTTTGTTATACTAATTACGCTACAGGATAGTGAAATATTAAAAGGGTGGGACTAACAAGCAAAGGTAAATATGATGGTACTTTTATACAGCAAGTTATATCACTTAATAAATTTGATTTTTAGTTAAAATAACTCATACTCATATATACCTGCAGACATAGTTATGACATTTTAAACTACAACATTGACTTGCATGCAGTGTTTTAATCACTTACGCTTCTTGAGTTTTAAATCTGTAGTCTTTGTTTAAATCAAGTAAAAGTTTCATTTCTTCCGGGGATAGTTCAAAATCGTAAATCTGGAGAGGAAAACTGGATATGCTACATTCACCATAGACTTTATTTGAGCCGCGCCATGACAAAACTAACATCAGGCATTTGCAACCAGCATGGATCCAAACCAGCCTGCCCATCCGTGCAGTCTGATCAGGATCCATGCTGTTCACTATCAGTTTCTCTACTTCTAATAGGGTTTGTAAGCTAAAAGCATGGATCCTGATCAGACTGCGCGGAAGCGAAGGCTGGTCTGGATCCATGTTGGTTGCAAGCGCACTATGTTGGTTTTGTCATGGCGAGACTCAATTTTTATCCATACATAAACTATGGATTTAAACCCCATAACCTGCTGGAACTTGAGATGATAAACCTTTGCCACCAGTACTAGAGCCCGGTCTACCTGCACATTTGTGCAGTCTGACTTGGCTCAATACTATTGGCTGACTTACTTTTAAGTTTTCATCTTGATATCCCAAAAAATTGATAATGGACAGACCCAAAATGGATGTTGGACAAGTCCATTTAAGAAACTCAGCAGGTTAAGGGCTAACCACCACAGTTTATTATTAACCAATGTTTTCATATATACAGTAAACCCTGGTTGTAGCAATTGGAAAGAACATATGTATTTTTTTGTAATCATAACAAATTAAAATCATAAACACTGTCAATATAATGTATTTTTGCTAATTTTGCCAGAGGGAAATACTTTTTATAATAACTGGGAGTTTGTAACATGTGTAACCATGTTTGCTAAAGACAAGGTTTACAGTATGTATGTTCTTGAACATACAAGCTTTCAACATGTAATAAACATGTTTTAAAACATCTTCCTTGCACATCTAGAGTTAATACCAAAAACGTTTTGTCAAGTGACAATGGCTGCCTAAATAATGCAAAATTTTGTATAACACAAAGAAAACAGGTATTTATATTACACCAACAGACGTACAAGAGCTTACATAAGAAACTTAACCTTAAATTTATATATGTGAAAAGTGATGGAGCAAACATGTAGGAATGTTGAAAGCTTGCATAACTCGAAGACTTTTGATTACACATATGTTGTTCAAACTTCTAGCATATTACACATAACTTACACATCTTCAGTATGTACACGCTGATCTCGATTCAAATTCAGCAATTGTTTCATTTCATCAGCAGACAACTCAAAATCGAAAATCTGGAAAGCAAATTTCTATTTACTTCCATAATTATCAACTTGCTTTTATCCAATTTCCATAATTATCAACTTGCTTTTATCCAATTTCCAAAATTATCAACTTGCTTTTATCCAATTTCCATAATTATCAACTTGCTTTTATCCAATTTCCATAATTATCAACTTGCTTTTATCCAATTTCCATAATTATCAACTTGCTTTTATCCAATTTCTGAATTTTTTTATCTTGTACAAATATCTATGTACATCATAACATGTATCTAGATTCAAAACTTTGGTTTAAGAAATTATGAACACAAATACAAATCATAAATTCTGACACACAGTTACATGCATGCTTGATATTAGTATTTTCATTAAAATAATTATAATTAAATTAACAACAATGTTATACTTAAACAGTTACTAAAACTGTTATAACATAAAAATTAAACAAGAGATGTCAGTATGATAAAATGCTTGACTATTCTCTGTGTTTGGTGTAAATAAAACCAGAGCCCCGATAATGTTGAATTTTCTATGCTGAAGAAAAGCCATTATTCTGTTAAAATGCTCATAATAATTATGCACCTTTGAGAGTTCCTTTTATGCTCTCAAATAAGTGTGTGAAGTTTCAATCCATTTCAATCATTAATTTTTAGAGTTACTTACTTGCACGAAAAAAACTTAATCAAAGTGTTACGTTGATGCCAATAGCTTTTACTATTCTCTGAATTGTTGAGCTAATGAATGAAAGAAAAGTTCATATAAATATGAAAACTTATAAACTTGTACATGAATTATACAGCACCTGGAAATTTTCTTGTATTCTTTGTGGCCTAACACTTTTTGGTACAACTGACAAACCTCTTTGTAAAAGAAACCTTAAATTCACCTGGAAAAAAAATCACAAAACAACTATTTCATCATAATCATGAATTGCCATAATTTATTTTAAATGTTCTGTAAATATACCTGTTGAAAATGCAGTCAATGAAATTTTATAAAGGAACAGTTCAAGAACAACTTTTTTTTTCCATTTTATTCTTAATTAAAAAAAAAAACTGGCTTAATATGGAGAATGATAGATCTTTGAATCTCTGACTATCAAGACATGTTCTGTTTGTCAACTTGATACATTACAATATATTAAGCCACTTCATTTGTGCTGGGATAAAAAAAAAATTTGTTTTTGTTTCAGATTTGTGGCACAAGGAAAAGTTAGAAACTACTTGAAAAGATAAGTTTTTAACTGACAAAGAATTCAAAAACTTCTCATGTTAAAAATATTAGCGGTCTTATATTAAATAGTGGCATCAATCCTTCAAAGTATAACCAGTGTTAAGTCACATGGTGCACGAGATATCTAGCAGAAATGATGTGGTCTACAAACCAACAAACAGACTTATCATCCTCCAGTTTTCATCAACATATTTACTCATCTAACTCATCTATTTACAATAAATAATACAGTATGCATTAATCACATCTACACAGTTTTCAGTCATTCATTTCATCATTCAAGCATTACACCAAACAGAATACCTCATATCATCACCTTAGTGCAGAATTGAGTTAAGTCCTTCTAAATTTAATAGGAGTTATTGCACTAAGGTGACAATTTATGCATCATTCCAGAAATAAGCTGATGTCTAAGTAAAACCACTGATTTATTATTAGCTAGATTGATACCATTCTCAAGCTCTTGGCGAAAATCTGTCAGATTCTAACCAAAATCTAGGAGGGACAAGCAGCTTGAGGACCGAGAGAGCACCCAATTACAAATTACAACTTACCCACTTTCCCCCCCTGTAAGACACTGGTAAGTACTAAAGAAATGAGGTGCAATGCCTACCTGTGCAGGAGATTTATTTTTAGCTTTAGCAATTTCTAATAATACTGGTTCTTCCAAACACCTTGGTGGTGGCTCTCTGTAAATATATATACAATATAAACAAATATAACACTAATAACCTAGATGCTTCTCATGCCACCAGTGCAGACCAAGATCAGCCGTCACACTTGTGCTATCTGATCATCTGATCATGGTTTACACTATTCACTATTCAGTCAGTACTTATTTTGAAACTTTCCTTGAAAATGATGAATTGACTTAAAGATGTTTTATGTTATTTAAAAACTAAATGTGTCAAATGTAAGATTTCCAAGAAAAAAAAATTTGAACCAATAACAACTCTAATTTTTAAACAGATACAAAAATCAGAAATACAAGAAAATATATCTGAACCTATAACAACTCTAATTTTTAATCAGATACAAAATCAGAAATATAAGGAAAGCATAAATAACAATAAATCTTTAACATTACACCAAGGTCTTTAAAACTTCTATTTGAAAGACCCTGATTAAACTAATAATTTCATTCACACAAAATTTGATGAAAGTAAGGTTAATCTAAATGTACATTTATTACATATACCGATAACCAAAATTAAGAGTAAAAACAATTTGCTCAGAAAAGTGAATCAGAAAAATAATTATATTTATTGTATACACAAACTTACGATTTGTTTCCAGGTGAACCTAAAGGACCATAGGCTTGTAACACAATCCCGTTCTCTTGGCAGTAATTGTGTAACTTTGAGTTAGATAGATGTAAATGACACTCCACCTAGGTAATATAAACAATCATCCTTCACAAACATTTATGTAGTGAAATTCATAAAGTGATGCTAAAGTTATAAGCAACAAAAGATGTCTGTAAGGCAATGTGCTCGACTATGCTATTCTCAGTTCTTTACAGTAAGAAAAGTCATAACTCTGTAAAAAGGTAACTCAGTTATGTGACATCATGTCAGATAATTACAGGGAACAAGTGTGTGAAGGTTCAACTCATATCATTTAACTCAGATATAAACCATGCACATATAAACTTATTTTAGATATAACCTTGCACATATAAACTTATTGGAGATATAACCTTGCTCACATAAACTTATTTGAGATATAACCTTGTACATATAAACTTATTTGAGATATAACCATGCACATATAAACTTATTTGAGATATAACCTTGTACATATAAACTTATTTGAGATATAACCTTGTACATATAAACTTATTTGAGATATAACCTTGTACATATAAACTTATTTGAGATATAACCTTGTACATATAAACTTATTTGAGATATAACCTTGTACATATAAACTTATTTGAGATATAACCTTGTACATATAAACTTATTTGAGATATAACCTTGTACATATAAACTTATTTGAGATATAACCATGCACATATAAACTTAACCAAAGTGTGACGGTGTCAAGTGTCAACATCCACTTGAGTACAACAGCTGTCCATATTCCACGAAAAGTCAAGCTAAATATCAGCAATTATTTTCTTCTATATATTATTCAATTATCAAACTTGACTTACATAAGCACTGAGAATTACATTAAATGGAGTACAAATGGGTTCAAGCAAAAAATTAATATTTTACTAAAATCTTGCACTATGGCAACAGTTCACTGAAAACTGTTTCTATTTACAAGAAAGCTGTCTTGTATTATTACTTATTATTGCCATTATACAAATCAAAACTGTAAAATACCTTTTTAATTACTCTTTCATATCAGGTAATAGGGATAAATAATTTTGATTAATTAAGTGTACAAATAACTGTGAAATAAGCATCTTTATTTAGGGTGTTGTTTCTCATTCAAAACTTTGCTATCATTTTTCAAATAGAGGGTTCAACGAGACATACCTGATTAAGTTGTGGTTTAATTCTAGCAACATCTAAGATACGCTGTATTTGTTTACTACTGAAGTTTGATACACCAATATTTCTAACAAGACCTTCATCTACACAATCTTCTAATGCCTGTAATCAAACAGATGTTAAATCTTTCTTGCCCTTGCATATATGAGCCGCACCATGACAAAACCAACATAATGGGTTTGCGACCAGCATGGATCCAGACCAGCCTGCGCATCCGCGCAGTCTGATCAGGATCCATGCTGTTCGCTTACAAACTCTATAATAAGTAGAGAAACTGATAGCGAACAGCATGTATCCTGATCAGACTGCAAATGCATTATGTTAGTTTTGTCATGGCACGGCTTACATATGACTAAAAAAACAAAACAAGCAAACATACAGGCTTCAGGGTTTTCATTTTTTTTTGAGGCAACAGATGTACAAACAAAAACAACCGATTTGGCCAACGGTCAAGGGAGATATTTTAATCTGCATGCCCAAAATACAAATGATTTTCACAGCTTTTCAACCAATGATATGGATTGCCAATGAAAACCCTGAGGCTAAGTCCACTTTATCTCATATTATGCCATAATATCATCATATCAGTAACTCTAAGAGGTCTAGTGTGATAGAAATTACAAGAACTGTCAGTTAGACAACATTCCATTATTCTCAGTGCTCGACAATAAGAAAAGGGGTATAACTCTGTTAAAAGGAAACTCAGAATAGTGGGACCTGTGCTGATCATGTAAAATACTCACAGAGAACAAAATGTGTGAAGTTTCAACCCATTCTCTTAAGTAGTTTTGGAGATACCAAATTACATGCAAAAAATTGTGTGATGTCAATGCTGGGGTGAATATAATAACTCTCCCTATTCTTTAAATAGTTGAGCTAAAAATTGAACTTTAGATCAAGGTTACAGCTCAGATTATTGGCAAGTAACTCTTTACTGAGCATATTCTGTTGAAATTCTGCTAAAAAAATTAGGTAAATGAATGGCAATTCTTTTTTTAAAAAAATCTTTTTAATTATATGATGATTTTTTTAACAAGCAAACTGTCATATGTGAAACTTATACTGTTGCTATTTTCAAGAGTTAAAATTTGAAATTCTGCAATAAAATTCTTGAAAGACTTGTTCACATTAACAAAACACAAATTGTTATGTACTTGTCATCCTCAACAATTGTCCTAATAAATATAATCAGTTCAATGAAAAAGAAAACGCTTTTCTTTAGCTTTCAATGTTGTTGTGTTTTTTTCCAACAATTGTCCAACATAAGATCACATGACCTTGGCTTTATATCTGTGCAATAATCTATCCACAAGTGCAGTTCTAAAATTAGAACATTTTCCAAGGCCAGACAAACAACACATCTCCTTGACTAAATGTTACAAGATCAAGATGTCTACTGTCTAACATTCAAGTAGGTTTGTGAGAGACAAGCTGTCTTACAGAAGTAGAATGATAAAAATTTATCAGAAATGTACCAGATTCATGACAGCCACAAGGAGGAAAATAAGTTCAAAAGGATTAAATTAGTCTTAATTGAAATTTGGTCAAAATCAAGAGCATGTTTATAACAAGAGCTGTCCGAAAGACAGCACACTCAACTATACTAAGTGCTTGAATTTAAAACAAGAGGGCCATGATGGCCCTGAGGGTCGCTCACCTGTATATAGGCCCCCCCAAAACCCCCCCCCCCCCCCCCCCAACGTTGCAGGGCCAATTTAACCCAAGGGCTTTTATATTTGCACAAAAACTTGGTAGACACCCATAAGAAGATGTTTCATGCTAAACATCTAAGCTCTAGCTATTGGGCTTTTTAAAAAGAAATTTTTTAAAAGTTTTTACTATACAACATATAGTTAAAAACAATGACACCCCTGGGCCAGGACAGTTTTGACCCCAGGGCTTTTATTTGAAAAAAACTTTGTAGACACTTACTAGAAGATGTTTCATGCTTAAATATCTAAACTCTAGCTATTTGGGTTTTTTCAAAGAAGATTTTAAGTTTTGCTATAACACATATATAAAAATCAATGGACCCCCGGGGGCGGGGCCAATTTTACCCCAGGCTTTTATTTGAACAAACTTGTAGAACATCTATTAGAACATGTTTGATGCTAAAATTCTTAGCCATAGCTCTTTGAATTCTTTAAAAGAAGATTTTTAAATTTTACTATATGCATATAGGGAAAATCAATGACCCCCGGGGCGAGGCCAATTTTAACCCCAGGGCTTTATTGAACAAACTTTGTAGACACTTATTAGAACATGTTTCATGCTAAATATCTTAGCTCTAACTCTTTGTTCTTTAAAAGAAGATTTTTTAAGTTTAACTATATTGCATATAGCGGAAAAATCAATGACCCCCTGGGCGGGGCCAATTTTGACCCCCAGGGCTTTTATGTTGAACAAACTTGTAGACACCTATAAGAACATGTTTGATGCTAAATAATCTTAGCCATAGCTCTTTGAGTTCTTTAAAGAAGATTTTTTAAGTTTTTTACTATATGCATATAGGGATAAATCAATGGACCCCCGGGGCAGGGCCAATTTTGACCCAGGGCTTTTATTTGAAACAAAACTTGGTAGAACACCCATTTAGCAACATGTGTTTCATGCTAAATATCTCTAGGCTCTATCTCTTTGGCGTTCTTTAAAAGAAGATATGGTTAAAGTTTTTACTATATTGCCATATAGGAAAAGTCAATGACCCCCCGGGCGGGGCCAATTTTGACCCATGGGCTTTTATTTGAACAAACTTGGTAGACACCTATATAATAACCATGTTTATGACTCAATATCTTAGCATAGCTTCTTTGGAGTATCTTTAAAAAAGAAGATTTTTAATGTTTTTACTATACTGCATATTAGGGAAAAATCAATGACCCCCCGGTGCAGGGCCATTTTTGACCCCTAAGGGCTTTTTATTTGAACAAATCTTGGTAGACACCCATTAGAAACATGTTTCATTGCTAAAGTATCTTTACTCTAGCTCTTTGGGTTCTTTAAAAGAAGATTTTTAAGTTTTTACTATATGCATATAGGGAAAATCAATGACAGCCCCCGCGCGGGCCAACTTTTGACCCCAGGGCTTTTATTTGAACAAACTTGTTAGGACACCTATAAGAACATGTTTGATGCTCAATATCTTAGCCATAGCTCTTTGAGTTCTTTAAACAAGATTTTTTAAGTTTTTACTATATGCATATAGGGAAAAATCAATACCCCCCGGCGAGGCCAATTTTGACCCTAGGGCTTTATTTGAACAAACTTGGTAGACACCCATTAAACATGTTTCATGCTAAATATCTTAGCTCTAGCTCTTTGGTCTTTAAAAGAAATTTTTTACATTTTTAATATCATCATAGGAAAATCAATGACCCCCCCCCAGGGGCAGGGCCAATTTGGGACCCAGGGCTTTTATTTGAATCAAACTTGGTAGACACTCAAACTAGAAGATGTTTCATCGCCAAATATCTAAGCTCTAACTCTTATGGTTTTTTAAAAGAAGATATTTAAAGTTTTTTCTTTCGGTTGCCATGGCAACCAGAGTTCTGCATGGAATTAAATTCTTTGAACAATTTTTTGGTGACCACCAAAGGAACATTCCTGTGAAGTTTGGATGAAATTGGCTTAGTGGTTTATGAGGAGATGTCATTTAAAGTAAAAGTTTTCGGACGGACGCTGGACGGCCGGACGCCGGACGAAAAGCGATCACAAAAGCTCACCTTGTCACTTTGTGACAGGTGAGCTAAAAAAGGCATGACTCTGTAAAAAGGTGACTCAGTTATGGCACCTGTGCCCATCATTTAAGATAATCACAGAGAACAAATGTGTGAGGTTTCAACCCATTTCTTTCAATAATTTTGGAAATACCAAGATGCAAGCAAAAACTTAACCTAAGTGTGATGGTGATGACAACCCAGGGTGAGATTAACAGCTCTCCCTATTCTTCTAATTAAAAGAAAAGCTTTATCATGACAGTGCAATCCTCTGTTTTAAATACAAATGTCATGTCATTTTATGGTTAGTGTATGAATCTATATATTTGGTTGTCTCAAAATGAGGAATATTGTATAAACCTTGATAAAAATCACACTTAAGAATCTTAATGGAAAGAATGACGATTACAAACATCAGGTGAAGTGCTGCATGCAAAAAAATTACTAGCAAAAATTACTTAGCTAAAATTATGTAACTTGTCCTTGGGGGTCAACTAATAATATAGATTTTGTTTTAATCTTGAATGCATTTGGATCAATTGACTGTCATCGATCAATATTCAAACAATGATAAATACATGTACAATGTCAGAGATCTATGGTTTATGTTTTATAAAAATGGCCATCAGATTTCCTAAAATTTGGCCAAACAACTTTTCTAAGTTAACATAATAGAAAATGCCATTATACCAAATCATTCATAGAAGAAGTGGAGTACTCTATTTCTGAAGTGAAGAATAAAGCCATAAAATGATAATGTTTCAAGTAGATGCATTTTGCCTTACCTTCCATGTATCCACATAATCAACATCAGAAAATATAACTTTTCCATTTTCATCTTTAGGATAAAAATCTCCCCCTTCCTGGAAAGAATAAGGATAAATTTGCCTTATCATATTGTTAAATTTTTAAGCAAAATCTTTGTTTAAAGTGGAATCGTCTATAATTGGCACATTTTCTGTAAGAATCTCAAATATTGATTAAAACAATTGAAATGCATCATTAAGATATTCTTATAAAATATTCCTTAAAAGAAATAAGTTATTTAAGCGCTTATTATTTTAGTTTGAAGATTTATATTGTGAATCTTAATATTTTGTTCTAGAACATTTTATTATCTGCTAATATATTGGGTCATGTAGCTGACAATAACAGAACAGAACAGAAACTTTATTTTCAGACTTGTACAAAATACATCGTCTACACAATACAAACAATTAAATATATTTAAGTATAAGTCACATTACATAATAATATCATAGTCAAATGTTAGCAAAGCATATGTGTTTTATTGCTTAATTTAATAATTCTGTTTAATACAAAACATATCTAAAAAATATATATCAAAGCAAATTGTAATCTCATATTTAAAGTTAGATCATTATGCAATCAATTAACTTATTTATCTCACGCTATGTTACACAGAGGATTAACCTGAAAATTCAAACGATTTGTAGAACTTACTATTCTCATAGCTAATGCTTTCTCGTATATAACAGAGCAAGGATTACGCAAAAATAATCTTATTATCACTGATTAATAATTCTAAAATTTTATACATACTAGGTCTAACGTAGTAAAATTTCTTAATATATAATCATATAATAATTAATAACCATCAGTCTGACACTAAATACTATCAAATATTTCTTAATTGTATTACAGACCTTCCATTATAGACAAATTCATTTTAATGCAAAAAACTTATAAGCACTTGACTATCACCTTTGTGCATTCCTTCAAACGCCTATAGCTGTAATGCTCATTATCACTGTAACCAGTGTATTTTAAACTTACACCCCACCCCATCCATACTTTCATACACATAAATCTACTCACTTTATAAGCCATAGGCCAGTGTATAAGATACAAATCTAGATATTTAAGGCCTAGATCATCTAAGGACTTCTTTAAGCTGGCTCGTACTAGATCCGGGCTATGACAGGTATTCCATAACTGAAAATAAATCAAGATGAAAATTTAACATTACTCTCTCCTCTCTGGTATATGCTGATCTGGTGTATGCCTGCCATATCTGCCATATACTCTGTTAAAGAGTTCTTTTATTATGTAATTTGAACATCTCGTTCATATTAAGTGAATAATATACATGAATAATGTATAATACATAATAAGAACATGAATATAAAACATACAAGAATACCTTTGGCTATTTAAATAATATCTATTTAACAAAATTGTAGCTGTACATGTTGATAATCTGTATATAATAACTGTAACTAGCTCAATAAACATTATAGAAAATTTTCTTAAATTTTTAAGGAGGCCTTTTTCACCATAGAATCTTAAAAGAATTTGACCCAAAAAGGGAAAATCAGGGAATACAAAATTACAAAAATTTTAAAGCCAAATAAAAACTGTGTTGAATTTTAAAATATTAAAATATCGCATATTGTTTAGGGAATAATTTACACTTTCTTTATTAAAAAACATAAACAGAATTTTGAATAGCCTTTAGTGAGGATCCACATTTCAAAATCTCCAAAAAACTGAAAAAGGATTAAAGCTAACTTAAATAAACAAAATTTTATATTTAATTTCAAGGTGCCGAACAAATCAAATTTCATCAGTAAGAACTAAGAAACAGGCTGGTTTACATAATTCTAGATGTCACCAGTAATAGATGTCACCAGAAAGTATCAGACTGGTTCAGACATAATACTTGATGTCACATTAGGGAGCAGACTGGTTCACATAATATTTAGTATGTACAAAACGAAGGAATGAAAAAAATATATGATACTGCATTAACCAGTGAATGCTTTTTCCAGTTTTGTATGATAGTTTTAAGTAAAAGATAAAACAAACCTTGCTAGTAATGAATAAATCTTCTCTTGTTACTGTTCCTTCTATGATAAGTTTTTTAATGGCACTACCAACAGCTCTCTCATTCCTGTAGATTGCCGCACAGTCTAAATGTCTGTAACCAGTCTTTACAGCATAATGAACAGCATTGAAAACATCATCATCAGTCTGTCAGAGACGAAAATCAAATACATTTACTATTGAATTTTTTAAATAATTTGTACTTAAAATTTGTATTTATATATAAAAAATATAAAAAAAAAAAATTATTAAGGTAATATTTTAGAACTGAATTTCTCAAAAATTAAATGCACGTGTACATGCATTTATCAAGTTAATATTAAAATTATAAATCTGAAGCAAAATGAGTGGCATATCTACCTGTAATAACCTAGCCAGTAATACATATCCCTGGCCTTGCCTACACTTAAGGAAAGCATAGCAACTTAAGGCTTTTCAAATCAAATCAAATCAAACTTTATTTATTGTCGGTATATATATATTTTCAATTGCCAAAGCTAGATTCTGAGATATTTTTGTTCTGGGTCACTCAGAATCTCTTTCTTTTATGGAACAAAATAGCAATGTGTAGTACAATTACATGTAGCTGATATTGTAAAATCCCTGCCCTTTAGGCAAAATTTGATGATACAGCCTATTAGTATTACTTAAATTAAACTGGTAACTAAGGCACTAAAAACCACCAAAATTCACAAAAAACAAGTTGATACACCGTATTTTTTTCTTTTCTTTATAGATGGGAACCTGGCAGTACAAATGTCTTGCTGCATAATTTATGTTTGCAATTAGATAAAAAAAAAAACTGATGGAATGATTATAGAAGCTAAGTAAAGCTGTTAAAGATATTCAAATCAATTACAAACCTCTTTTGCGCCATATGTCCCAAGACCTAATGCAGGCATCTTTTAACCCTCCACGAAGAGTAAATACAAATTCTTTATTTGAAGACATGGTGAAATGTCTGTTCAAACCATAAAAAATAAAGTATATATAAAAAAGTTCAGCTTAAAAATGGCAACTTAAGTTTGCATCCAGCTGACAGTGGAATCGCACTGATTTGCAACTACAAAGAAGTTTCAAATTAAAATGTCTTTTTTTAAAGCTTCAATAAACACTTTTCAAAAAAGATAAAATTTCGTGACAACCCTTTTTAAAGTAAGGGTTTTCTGAAAAAAAACCGGTTTAAAAAAACGGAATTTTTCATGCAAACCCTTTACCCCTGTTAAAATTAAAAAATACATTGTCCTTTTTTAAAACCCCCGGTTTTAAAATTGCGTCCCTGACGGAATTTTAATAAACCTTTTTTCTCCCCTTTTTTTCGGCAATGCCGAATTTTAAAAAAACATATTTTCTTTTTATTTATATATACGAAAAACTATAAATTTATTTTTCCCATAACAAAACGAAGGGGAAAAAAGGAATTGTTTAAAAGGGGTTTTTGATTTTTCGGATAGGGAAAGAAAACAATTATGAAAGGGGAAAGCCCGGAGGCCAAAACAGCTAGCTAGTGGTTTAACCTAGTGTCACGTACGGTTAGCCAGGAACACTGTTTTTGTTACCCCCGGGGGCACTTTTAAAAAAAATAAGACAATTCACAAAACCCCCGAAAAAAATTGTTTTTTGGGGTCTGAAATTTATCCCAAATTTCAACCAAAAAAGTTTGCCACCCTTAAGGGAAAATTTGGGATTTCCGTTTAAAAGCATTCTAAAAATTTTATTTCATCCCAAATAAAAGGGTTTTTAATTTTTGGCTAATTTATTTGCTTTTTAATCCCATGTTTTTCAACCAAAAAATTTTTACATTTTGCTCCATAATTTAAAAATTTTTTCTTTTTTAAAAACTATTAAATAATTAAAAACTTTTACAAAGCCAGGATTTAGTGGGGGCGTTTATTCTTAAATCCCAACACAAGCTTTTTAGGTGTTTTTATTTTTTACCAGTATTTTAATTTAAAAAAAAAAAAAATTTTTTTGACAAATTACAATTATGTGATTTTATTCGGTACAATTCAACCCGGCCCCAAGTCAACCCGGCCCCAAGTCAACCCGACCCCAAGTCAACCCAGCCCCAAATTGGTCAACCCGGCCCCAAACCAATGTTATTTCTGGTCAACCCGGCCCCATTTTTTAAAATTTATTTTGCTTTAAAATGTAAACACTTTTCAAGAAAAACAATAAAAATTAACAACAAAAACAACAACAAAAGTTTAACGAGGATATCTTTTATTATTTATTTTATATAAAAACTTTCAATATTAACAAACAAGCAACACATGCATAATTTACTGTTTTTACAATGTCCAATGTATAGTTATACAGTGTTCAATGCATAGTTCTATAATGTTCAATGTATAGTTTATTCAGGGAATATACATACACGCGCACAATTTCCTGCCTATAACACTCGCGAGAGGGGTTGGGTACTCCCCAAATAGAAATAGATAAATTCTTTAAAAGTTCGTCACAAAATCCCTAAAAAATTTTAAACACATACCAAAAACCCCAAATTTACTCGTCTTCTTCTTTTGCCTTTTCTACCTTATGCTATAAGTTGGGAAAACGAATTTTTCAAAAAGGGGGTTTGGCCCTAAAATGCTGGTAAATTACTTTTAAAACCCGAAAAAATAATTTTATTTCTAAAAAAAAATATTCTCGCCCAAAAAAATGGCGGGAAACTGAAATATTAACCCCAATCAATACAATTTTCCCTCATAAGACATTTAAAATTATTTAAAAACAAAACACTATAAATTTTCAAAAACTAAGTAAAAATTCCCAAAACTTTTTTGGGAAAAAAATTAACAAAAAAGAAACAAAAAATTAAATTTAATTTTTACGGGAAGGGAAAGTATGCAATTAAAAAAAATTCAAATAACTGAAAAAAAAAATTATTGGAAAAATTTAATTTTATAACCCAAAACCCTTTTAATCAAAATTCTATAAAATTTTTTTCCTAATTTTCGCCAATTTAAAACTCAAAGAAAAACCCTCTTTTTTAAATTTTCATCAATTAAAAAATATGGGAAAGATTTTAAAAAAAAACATTTTTTCTTTAAAAAATAAAACCAAAATTATTTTAAGATTTGTTTTTCACAAACATACCTTTTTTTTTTTAAAATTTATTGCTTTTAAACTTTTTAATTTAAACACACTAATTAATTTGATTAAATAATTGTTAATGCCATTAAAATTTTTTCATTATCACATTTTCGTTTTTAAAGTTTTTAATTTTTTGTGCAAATTAAAATTTTTCGACACCTTTTTTTGCCAGTTTATTTTTTTCATTGTTCTATAGTTAATAATTTTCAATCAATAATAAATCATTTTTATTCCATCATGCAACAAAATGACTTAAATAGTTTTCTTTGAAAACTATATATTTTGGGACCGGAATGACCGATTTTGGGGCCGCACTGACCAATGTTGGGGCCGCATTGACCAAATAAAAATACTGTGGGGCCGCATTGACCAATTTTGGGGTCAGGTTGACCAATTTTGAGGCCGGGTTGACTTGCGGCCGGGTTTACTTGGGGCCGGGTTGACTGTAATTCGATTTTATTTGATGAGTAACTGTCAACATTACATCTGTGAACTGTGGGTAATTTAATTTATGATGATTTATTTCAGATACTACTGTGACTATTGTGATACATACCTCACTCATGACTCTGTAAGTAATCTTCTAATCTTTTTTATCATGTAGAAGTAGAAAACCAGCATGCTTTTGTTCAAAAGTAAAGGTCTAAATAACTTGTGAGTATAAGATACTGGGTATATGATGATCGTGCACTGTCATACTGAAGTAGCAGACTATTAATACTAAAACAGCAGACATAATGAAAATACTATTATGCTGTTTGAAAGGATATATTTTATTCCTGAACCCCACAAAGTATGTTGGCACTTTGATATAATTTATGATTATTAGTCCTTAAAACACTATTGTAAATAACTTAAATGGGTATGTCCATCTTTCAGTCAGGGCATATAAACCATATATGATCATTTTTAGCAAAAATTTCAAAATACATGTATTTATTAAATGAATAGCCAGCAGTGCAGACTATGACAGCACAGTTGTGCCAGCAGTTAATGGTCTGCACTGGTCATATTGGTAGAATGTGTTGCACCCAGTAGGCACTTATAAATTATCATTCTCAATTATCATTCTGTGTATAAAAATTAATTTGAAAATTTTCACACGGGATGTCTTACTTTTGTGAACAAAATAATTGATAAGTTTTTATTGACTGAGTTCAAATCACTTGACCTTTAGCCACCCTGAGTTTCAAGCCCACTGGAGACTTCACTCTACTATGAGGACATTATCCCGCTAGCTTACAGAAGGTCATCAGTTCTCCTCAGATTCCTACAATAATGCAGGAATTAGTCTTCCTCAACCAATATTAATGCTAAAAAATTTTCATATGGTATTAGCAGTGTACAATGTGTGTGGTACTTAAAACCAAAAAAATAAGGAATATTATTTTTTATGCCACCGCAGCATCTGCGATGCGGTGGCATATAGCGATTCACCTGTGTGTGTGTGTGTTTGTGTGTGTGTTTGTGTGTGTGTTATATAGATTATATAGTGAACTTAAAAAATCTTCTTGTGAAAAACCACTAGTCCAATTTCAACCAAACTTGGCAGGATTGTTCCTTGGGTGAAGGGCTTCCAAAGTTGTTCAAAGAATTTCATTCCATGCAGAAATCTGGTTGCCATGGCAACCAAAAGGAATTATAAGAATAAATTTAAAAAATCTTCTTGTAAAGACCCAAAAGGCCTAGAGCTTAGATATTTTGCATAAGGCATTGTCTGGTAGACCTCTAACAAGATTGTTCAAATTATAGCCCTGGGGTCAAAATTGGCCCCGCCCCGAGGGTCATTGATTTTCACTATGTACATATAGTAAAAACTTAAAATACCTTCTTGTGAAAACCCAAAAGGCCTAGAGCTTAGATATTTTGCATAAGGCATCATCTGGTAGACCCTTACCATGATTGTTCAAATTATAGCCCTTGGGTCAAAATCGGCCCCGCCCCGGGGTCATTGATTTTCACTATATGTAAATATAGTAAAAACTTAAAACACCTTCTTGTAAAGACCCAAAAGGCCTAGAGCTTATATATTTTGCATAAGGCATTGTCTGGTAGACCTCTACCCAGATTGTTCAAATTATAGCCCTGGGGTCAAAATTGGCCCCGCCCCGGGGGTCATTGGTTTTCCTTATATGTATATAGTAAAAAATTATAGTAAAAACTTCAAAAAAAATTCTTCTAGCAATTGACAAATGCAAGAGGTTAGATATTTTGCATGAAACATTGTGTAGTAAACCTCTAGCAAGATTGTTCAAATTATAGCCCTGGGTCAAAATTGCCCCCGCCCTTGGGGTCATTGATTTCAATATATACATATAGTAAAAAATAAATAAATCTTATTGTCTGAAGGTGCAAGGCTTAGAGCTTTAATATTTGTTAAATTATATCATCTGAAGGTACTCTACAAAAGTTATTCAAAGTTTTGCCTCTTGTGTCAAAATTAGCCCCGCCCCCTGGTGGCCATAGTTTTCCTTATATGTATATAGTACAAACTTAAAAAATCATCTTCTCTAAATTTACAAAGGCTAGAGTTAAGATATTTTGCATGAAACAGTGTGTAGTGAACCTCTGGCAAGATTGTTCAAATTATAGCCCTGGGGTCAAAATTGGTTCCGCCCCGGGGGTCATTGATTTTCATTATGTACATATAGTGAAAAAATAAAAAATATTTTTGTCTGAAGGTACAAGGCATAGAGCTTTGATGTTTGATATATAATATCATTTATAGGTCGTCTACCAAAGTTGTTCAAAATTTTCCCCTGGTGTCAAAATTGGCCCTGCCCGGGGGCAGTGATTCTCATTATGTACACATAGTAAAAACAGAAAATAAAACAAATGTTTTCTGAATGGGAGAAAGCTATAGCTTAGATATTTGACTTGAAATGTTGTTTGGTGGACCTGTATCAAAATTGTTTTGAATTAAACCCTTGGGTCAAAATTATACCTTGCCCAAGGGGACAGTGACCTACTTTCTTGTCCTTTGATGTACAGCAATGACATTTTGACCATGTGCACAATTTTAGTTGTAAAATTGAACTTTGATATCAGGTGACCTAGATTTTGATGATGTGACCTACTTTCTTGTCCTTTGGTGTACAGCTATGAAATTTGAACCATGCGGTGGCATAGCATTTTTCTCAAATGCAATCTTGTTTATCTTTACTTTTCACAGCTATAATATTTTTCTATATATATTACAGCCTTCTGTAAGAAAAACACATTGCAGTGGTCGTAAACATAAAGAAAATGTTAGATTATATTACCAAAAATGGCTAGAAGAACAAGTACAAAAATTGGTGGATGACACAAGTGAGTACTCTCGCACTTATTTAAAATATTCAGATAATGAGGTATATGAAAATAATTTGTTTATTGGTTAAATGTTTTCTGTATGGCTTCACAAACATCAAAATTAGAGTTTATAATGCATGATACTACCTCTGTTAGTTTTAAAGCGAATAATAAGCTTCATTCTTCAGCTAGTTGTTTCATTTGATTAAAAGTCTTTAGAATGTCTGTATCTGTTTATTAAACTATCCAACTGGCATGTGTGTCACAAGAAGTGATTACCTATTAACTTACAAACTTTCTTGAGATTTCTTCTTGTTGTAATTTTATTTGTCAATTGTACAGAAGCAAACCTTAGAGCAAATTTAATGACAACCTGTTTTATGCATAATGCACTTAATGTATAATTTTTTGTGAGAATGTGTTTTTCATTTTAGATATTTACAATTACAGTGATTTATTTATTATCTATATTTTTAGCGGCTGCATTCAAGGCAGGTGTTGCAGGTCAACCCAAGCCTCCAGTGCCAGGTGCGATGCCTGGCCCACCAGCTGGTGCTATGCCAGCACCTATGGGTGGACCCATGCCAGCTCCTATGCCATTGATGGGCCCTGGTCCTCCAGGTCCTAGACCTATGATGATGCCAGGAGGTAATGTATAATTGTGTGGAATACACATGGTTGTTTGTGAACAAGTGACATCATTGTAGCTTTAGGTCTTATGTTGCCAGGAGTTTAATTCCTATAACAAGCTTACAAGTACTGGTACACCTCAGTAATTATGAAGTCTTGCATGTCTTTATATCCCTGCTGCTTTGATGGGGCGAGCATATAAATTTGCCCTTGTCTGTCAAGCCGTCTGTCAGTAGACTGACAAAACTGGAATGTTGGTACATCCATGTCATATGAATACATTTCTAGTTGCTATAAGATAGAATTGCCTTATGCTTTAGGTTGTTATTTTCTCATTAGCCACAAAATATATAGCTGAGAGTTTCTGTATTTAGTTATTTACTAGGGGGAAAAATTAAGAAGAGACTTTGTCTGGATTTTATGTTGTATTTTATTATTTGTTGACTCTTTATAATCAAGCTGATTTAAAGTTGTATCATAAGGTAAAACTTTTATATAGTTTTAGATATAAGTAATTGCATCATTATATCTTTTAAAAAAATATGATAAATAGATAAACAGTTTATAAAAGAAATAATATTAAGATTTTCATTATCACATCTTGCAGGACTTGTACACAATATTGTTAAAATTATGAAATTTTGATATTATTACAGGTATGAGACCACAAATGGTGCCAATGGGTGGCATGGGTATGGGTCCACCAATGGGAATGCAGTTCAGGGGCGGACCTCCAATGATGGGCGGGCCTCCACGTATGATGAACAGATAATGCTGGCAAAAATCTTTACTCATAGTTGTAGGAGTGTGAATAATTTTTACAAATTTTAAAGAGGATTGTCTTATGTAAGAAACATTTTCTTGGGAAAATTGTGTGTTTTGAGATAAAAAGTAATGTCTTTAAAATCCATTGGAAACTATTTACAAGAGAAAAAACATAGCATTAACATCATTGTTAACATTATGTTGTGTATTTCAAGTTGACATTTTATTATAGGCCACATTTTGTATCATTAAGGTTTCTTCAAATTGTTTTTACATTGTTCATTTCTTGTACGATTCCTTTAAAAGGCTTGACTGAAAAAGTTCATCTTGTCATGGAAACTTATGTGTCTGTTTTTTACAACTTTTCTTATTTACCCATTCTCACATGACATTTGAATTCATTGTTTTTGTAAGTCACTCTTGGGCAGATTACCATAATACAGGTCATAAAATGAGACTCATTTGTGTGTGTACAGTTCAGCAAATCATTGTTTAAAATTCATGTAGATCTGAGTGATGCAAGATTCTTTAAACGCCATAGTTTGTTTTTAAATGTCCGACAAGAGCAAACTCTGTTACATGAAATATATTATTTCTGTTGTAAATTTTTGTACTAAATATGTGCAATTAAAGTATTAAAATCTCTATCTTTGTTCCGATTTCACAAATTAAAAAAACTTTAAGCCCTTTGCCTGCTAGTGGAAACTGAGCAGCTAGCCATGTGACCGGTGATGAAGTATACCCAAATTCAGTAATACCGGAGATACTTTGTCCACACCGTGAATAAAAGATGATTAAAATTGGTAGTTAACTAATGTAAGTGTTTGAAATCAATTTTTGTCCAAAAGGATTGCAGTATTTCAAGTGAATCGTAACACATTTACTTTGGTAAATCGACAAACTATTAATTAGTCTAGTAAATCAACTGTTATATGAGTATAAAGCCTGGTCAGATTGCTAGCCTAGGTTGATCATGCTGGCCTGGCAAAGGCTTATGGCAGTAGATTAAAATTTACGAGTGGCAAAAATCAATAGACTTTTAACTGAAAATTGAGAAGTGGACCCCTAATAAAAGAATTTGAAACTTGGCTGGATTAACCTGTTGCGTAAAAAGATTTCCGGAACTTGGTGAATGTGGGTTTTTCCCAGCCAATCTGTAGGTACAAAATAACTTTTACAGTTAAAGCTTCACGGTGCACTACCTGTCACAATAGATAAGTTGACCTGTTTCGCTTACTTTCAGAGTAACTAAAAGTTTGTTTGTACCTATGTTATTAACTTGAAAACCCCAAATATTCTTACATGTAATTCAGGAGTTTAGTTTATTGAAATCTTATTTCTGTACTGATTAACTGATTGCCGAGAAAATACCAAATACACAGGCTATGATACGAATTTGTTAAGGTGTTAACAATATATCTAAGTGAAAAACCTGCTTGCTTTTGTGTCACCTGACTTTTCAAGAACCGTAATTAACTTGTACCTTAGAGCTTGATAGTATAATAATAGCCATGCAGGATTTACGAAAATCCACAAGAGGAATAATTCAGTAAAAACAATGTAAGTTTTATGGGTCTGAAATCTACTTCTTTATACTCAAACATTTAAGTATAGCAACTTTTAGTGCTTTAAGAATTGAAGTTTTATGCAAAACCTTCACCATAAGCAACACTTACCCATAACCTGTTGGGACTAGATAATTGGCCATTGCCGTCGGTATTGTCTGGCAAAACTGCATTTTTGTTCACTCTAACCAGGCTCAATACTGTTGGGATTTTTGTATTTTGTTATTTAAAGGGTATAGAAATATTTTTATAAAATTTATCAGCAGTAAATTTATATTAATCCATAATCTTATAGTCGATTCTCGAAAGATATGAAACAAAACTTGAGTTCGTTATTTAACACACATGCATAGTGTACGTAAACGGAATAAAATGTTCCAGAACAAAATATTATTCTGCTATATCAATTAGGGTTTTATCTGTTTAACAATGGTTTTGTGTATGCGCCATTCACTTGCGGCAATTTACTACCATATTTATTTTATCCAAGTAGTTTGGATGTATTCCTTTTAAAAACTAATAATTTCTGCAGCAGATATACTGGTTTCATAGTAGTTTCCGGCCACAAATCGCACTTTTGAACAAATAAAATAAACATCAGTCTACGGAGGGGTTCAAAACTTTGACAGGACAAAGTTAGGTACCTGTCGAGCATTGCCATGTGTTTAATGTTGCACTTTCATTTTACTTTTTAATGTGAATATAGGCCTGAAACATAACACCTTTTTTCACCTTTATTCAAAAATTCATAGCAGTTTTCCGGACCTTTTTTATTTTGAATATAATTCAGTACCATAAAGCAATGTTAATTTAATTTTATCAGACAAACAGAACTTCCCAACCTTTTCCGTGTCGTCTGCAAAAATATTTTCCGAATTAATGATTTACCTAAAATGGGGTCTTAGTTATTGCGCAAGGATATTCAAACTAGAACTCCCCAGGTGTTGCTTATTTTTGAAAGTCGCAAGTTCTCATATGTAACTTTAAATAACAGGCAAAACTTCAAACATAAATAGTTGTACTATTTTAAATGCTGTTAAGCATAGAAAACAAATGTCTCTCTGATTGATGAAGTAATGTGGATGACTTACTGGAAAAAATAGACTGTACTGGGCGAAAATGATTAACGGCCGGAAAACTGCTAGGGGACGGAAACTGCTAGGAAACCAGTATAGCTTTATTTAATACTTATAAATAAAATATTGATGAAATAAAATGCAGATCGATTTTAATTTTCCGTATTTTCATTGTAAAAATTAATTTTTCACTGCAAAGAAGCATATTTTCTGTATCTTCACTTGTGTCATGCCAGACTACTTTCTTATAAATTCAGCCAATACACAAAATTAAAAGTAAATTCTTCCCGATCATAAGGTGAAAAAAGAGAAAAAGTATATAGAAAACAGAAAATTCAAGTTTTTTTAGCAATACAGAATTTATTTTCATTTTTTGGTATGAAAATTATCATTTCATGAGTGGCAGTAGCCATTTATTTTCATACCACTTGATGAAAATAAATCCTGTATTGATAGAAAAAACTTGAATATCCTCTTTTTATACACTTACTTAGTAGTTTTAGGATTAAGATGAACAGCACTTTTCTAATAGCCATGGTGAAAGGACAGTAAAGAACAAGTAAGAAAATGCCCTGTAAACATGATTTATTACTGTAAATATAGAAGCATAAAATTTACTTTTGATATGATAGTCATCATGTAAGCTATAAAAACAGGAATAAGAAATAAAGACAGTAGCACACTTGTACACAATAGTTGAAATAAATATCAGAACAAGCATTGTATAGTATTCTATCAGAAATTAAATATTTCAGTTTCTTATATTCTTTTCTATTGATCATGTAAAAGAATAATGTAATTCAAGCGTTCAATGCAACAATGATGTATATTTATTAATAAACAAAAAGAACAATTTATGATTTTAATGGGATACAACCTAGATTATGGCAATAAAAGAAACTGACTTTTGATAGCAAATTATGTGTATACAAAAAGTCTTTACATTTCATATACATGTACAAACAAAAATGAGTAAAAATAAAAAATTTACAGATTTTTTTTTTGGTAACTAGACACTTTCAATTTCATTAGTTCCACTTATTTTTGGCTATTGAATGTAGCAAAGTTACAATGAAAAACATCCGTAGACACCATATGACTTTAAATGTCTAAGTCATCTTCACATAGCTTACTCATTTATTTAATAAACTGAATATGTTTGGTGAAAAAATCCAAAAACTAGCATAACATGACATACGCTGTCAAATTTTACATGATAGTTAGATTTTTTTTTAACAAAACTGCAATTTTGTGGCACACATAAACCTGTATTCTAGATACAAAAGAAAGATGAAAATATATCGGGACATCAATTATCACTACCACTGTTTCACAGACTTAACACAGATTTATGTTGAATACTTGATATACAAATGTACTTGTGTTCCCTTAGAAGCACAAGAATTTAACACTAAACTTGCTGAATTTGTATAATTTATTTGCCTTGCTTTGAAATTGAAACAGTCTATGTCAAAATAAAAGGATTTCAATACCATAATACTGATCTTGAAATACCAACTGTATAGAGCCAGTAAGCCTGCACGGTTGTGCAAACAGGTCTGGCTCTATACTGGCAACAAAGGCTATAGACTTTAAGTTCCAGCAGGTTAAGGGTTTAATCTTGAGTAAACAGCAACAATATAGACTTTAAGAAAACAATTTATAGAAAGCTTAACAGAAATGTTCCACTTTGACTTGATACAAAACATCTAGGGCATGGATTAACTAAATCTAGAACTTGGTTCAAAAAATTTAAGGACGTACAAATCAAGGACTAGGTGCAAAGATATACATGTATATAGGATTAACAACAATGTAATCAAGTGCTTTGTGCAAAGAAATTCAGGACTTAGTGCAAGATAATTGTAACCAATATGAAGTAAAAGAATAAAATACATTCTTTTTGCACCAGACTGAAAAACAAAAAATTGTAAAAATATATGTTTCACAGTTCAAATTTAGGCAACATGGTATATAAAAATAAAGCCTTAGCTTGGATACAATATAAATTTTCCTTCCTAGAAAACATGAAACATCACAATGTTGGATAAATAGACATAATATCAAAACACCGCACAAATATTTTGCTTTAAAACGGACAAAAACAATGAGAAAAATTGAATGACAAGGAGCATTATAAAAATTATCAATTCCTACATATTATCAGAGACATAGATAACATCTATGTCTCTGATATTATAAGATGATAATATTTTTCCTCTATTATAACTCCACTACATCTAGTAATGTGTAAAAACTTAGATTTGTGCAGAAGGGAGTTGATTGCAAAAGCTGCTGCAATTTAAGAGAGAGAAAAATTAAACATTTTTCTTCCTATTTCACAATATCATTATCCATGTATCTCAATTCATAAATCTAAATCTTTATAACAGTAATTAACATTTAACAATCAAGGCATTTATATAATCTATAAACATGGTTGGTGTAAATACTAAATTTTATCAATTATAGTTTCCATCTTTATCAAAGTAAGCATTTTTGCAGTATTATAAAATCATTATAATGTAACATATTATGCAACACGTCTACTTACTGACTACAACTGATTTCCAATACCCTGTATTATCTCCGACTATTGGGATTGAGTGATTGTGAAAATGTTGAAATATTACCTTTTTATGTTCCGTGTGTGAATGAAATAACTTTAATCATTGTAAATGGCAAACTGGTGTATGAAAATGATTAATGTTGTTAAATGTACCATTGATTTACCTATTCTTTAAATATGTATGAATTAGGGAGTGTATGTTAATATTTATAACAAAAATACATTGAAATTTCACAGAATACACCAATTTATCGTAAATCCCTAACTTAGTGCAGTAACAGGTTAACTCCAAATAAACAGTAACAGGTTAACTCCAAATAAACAGTAACAGGTTAACTCCAAATAAACAGTAACAGGTTAACTCCAAATAAAATTTAATAAGAGTTAACCTGTTACTGCACTAAGATGACAAAATGTTCTATTTTGTGTTGTTCTAGAATGTTTACCATATATTATACATGTACACATTGCCCTATCATGCAACAAGTTCTACTTAACATGGACCACATTTGTATACATGTTCTAAATTTGTCCTAAGAGAATGATTCTCATCTAAGTGCAGAAATTGGTTAAGTCCTTCTAAATTTAACAGGAGTTAACCTGTTATTGCACTAAGGTTACAAGTCATGTCCGAGGCAGATTGTTAAATAATATCAAACCATCTTAAGTAAAATCCCAAATAAGATCTTTATCACAATTTTTCATGCATGCTTGGCCACTCAATAATGTGAACCATGAGCTTGTTTGAAATTCAGCGTAACACTGATGTATGGAAATAAACTAGAAAAAGAGGTAAAGCCAATATTTCTAGGAACCCTATATTTAATTGTGGTACACAAATATACTATCAGATAGCGATTTTATAAAAAAGTCAATAAAACACTGGGAATATGCCTCAAATTTATTATAAAAATACGAGACTGGTGACCAGTTTAAGACTGAAGCATTTGATTGGTTGACACTTGACCAATGGTTGATTTTTTTTCTCTATTTTTAGACTGTTCTTAAATTTCTGGTTTATCAGAACAATTTCACAATGCTAATGCGCAATATTTCAGCAGTTTGAGCAGAATACAATCATCAAATACCTCCTTAAAAGTACCCAAAAAAAAACAAAACACTTTCTGATAAAATCTACAAGGCAGGGAGGGACTTTGACAATAAATCATACAACATAAATCATAACATCCTTAATATCTGAATTACTTAATATCAGGAAAAGGACATTTCTACAAATTATTTTCCCATGATAGTGTAAAAATTTGTTTTATTACTCTGTTTCTTTATGAATCTATTTTTATATTTGGCCACATCTCAATCATGTGTGATCACTTGAGATTTTTCTTAGATTACAATTACGGTATATTTTATGAAAAAAAAATGTTGTAAAGCTTCAATTAACATGTAATTACAAAATCATTTAAAAAAATTTATTCATAAAAAAAAACACCAAGACACTCTTGTGAATAAACAACTTATAAACACTCCAATGTTGTAAAATATGCACCATTTTTCCACTTTCTAAATCATTTACATTTATACTTTGATTCATTATATATAATATTCAACATGGAAACCTTAAACATGTAAGGTTACAAAAAATGAAAAATTTTAGTGGCTCAATTTAACTGAGCATATTTATGGAGAAAGATAAATGCCAGATTCCCTCTATGACATTTCAAGCCATGTGGGAGAATGAATATTTTATAAACAATACATTAACTATTTTCTCTTCATTATGTCGTCCATAGCACGATCATGTTTACAAATAGCACTATATCACATATTATCAGATAATACATTGTATATAGCAATAGATTTTACAAAACAAATACATGTATCTTAAATATCAATCAAGTCTGGTTGAACATGTATATAAAATCTGAAAACGGAAAAATGCAAGAATATATCTGGATTTAGAAAAAAAACTACATGCCAACAGAAATATTGCATAGAAACTGTAAATTTATAATACAAAAAATGTCTATATAACACTTAAAAACTAATCTATTTCTATTAAATTCTGTAATTACCCTCCTAAAAAATCTAAAAATGAGCCCCCACCCCTACCTGCTCCAACCCAAGCAAAAATAAATTTCATTTAAATAAATCCCACTCAAATAATTGTATGACAGTCAAAATGACTTGTTGGCAAAACTGTGATCGATTTGGCTAAACACATTTTTTGTAACCATTCAAGTTAACTTTATCCCATTGTACAACAGTAACTCACATGTGTTTAATTACAAATATATCATATCTAGACCTAATGGTTTGCTATAAATTTCAACTAATTAAGAGTACATAATATTGTATCTATTGGTGCACAGTACTGATAGATAATCAAAAGTGTCATTCAATGGGAACTAACAGACCGAGTATGTTTCAATATTTTTCAAAACATTTTAAAAAATTTGAAAGTCAAGAATTTTAAAATACAAAACTGCCTGTTTCTTGAAAACAACAAAAGTTTAAACTTATAATACAGGTTTAAAGGGTGTTGAAATGAACCACATGAAATATTTTCAACCCTTTGATGAAACGTAAGACATTTCTTTAAAATGCCTTGAAAGAACTAATAACCCCTATATTACTGTTAGCTCTTTTTTCTGCAACCTTGAAAAAATAATTTTTCAAACTCATGAAATTTGAAATTAAGAAGCAATAGCAAAAAAGGTGCATATTATATGAAAACAAAAGCAAAACCACTGGTTATAATTAACAAGCTAGTGAACAACATTTTAGTGATTTAAGTAAATATCAATTAAAGAAACAAACAGTAAGTGTTAACCCATTAAAAAGAGCATACCTCCAAACTAATATTTAAATTCTGAAGATAAAAAAACAACAACAATTCACACATCTGCCTAACTAATTAATTAATGGCTGTGTGGGTTCAAATCCCATAAGGGGCAAGCCTTGTTTCTTGAGGAAGAAACTTTACACTCATTGCTTATTACTGGTTGGTTCCAGGAACAGATTTTAGAGTGCTTCAAAAAGCTTACAGCTTCAAACACAATCAAACTAAAATAAATTAGTATAAACTTAGCATGTACTACATTTATAAACTAACTTAATTAATTCATGTATACAATATGGTTCTTTTAAGAAAGTACTAGTTTGTATTTTAATGTCTAGTGTTCAAAAAATAAATAAATAAAAGTTTCATATAAAAGAATTAAGAATCATTATTGAGTACTTATGGCAAACCATTAGGAAGTTTAATTAGGAAACTGTCACAATATCCTTGATCTCAGCTCTTATTTGGGTAACAGCACTACTTCTTCACATGACCTAACCCGTAACCTGCTGGAATCATAAGTGATAAGCCTTTGCCACCAGTATAGAGCCAGGCCAGCCTGCATTTACCTTAACATTTTTTATAGTACTTGTTAGTCCAGAATGTAACCTCAAAGGTATGAATCTCATCTACAATAACTATACCAAAATTTAAGTAATCAAAATAAGAAGAAAATGGGAAGTACAACACATCAACACCCGAGCTGGTTTAGTTTTCATTTATTTCTCTACCGGTATCGGTTCTATCGAATCTTCATCAGGATTTAACTAAATAATTTTCACATCAAGGACCTTAATCACTGATGCACATCTTTTTTTATACTTCAAATTTAATATTTTTATTCTTCAAATTTAATATTACCAATCTGGAGGTATGACATCCTTAAAATCGCACAAATATAACAATCCATCTAACAGTAAACCTGAGAAAAATAAGGGGAAAAAACAATGCATACATTATAGCAATGACAGAAAACAAACTCATTACTGTGAACAAAGTCCATAAAAAAGACACTAACAACTTTAATATATATATATCTAAAAAGTAAAACTAGAAATTTACATATACCTAAAAACAACTAACAGAAAACAAAGTATATATGCATATCTCATTATAAATGATAGCACATAGAATTATGACTGGAGAAATATTTAGGAATTGTTTCATAGCTATAACCATAGGGGACAAACACTTAGTGGATTTCTGACCTGCTTCATTCCACACAATATACCCACTCTGAACACATGAAAAAAAAACATGCTTTTAAGTTAATTATCAACTATACTAAATAACTGTTTAATCTTATTATAACAAAATTGTATATTGTCTGCTTTCTAACCTAGCAAGTGACCAAGTGACCTTGACTTGAGAAAATATTTACATGTAGTTAAAGTTCTTTAAAGGATGAGATTAAATTTCACATTAAGTTATTCAAATATATTCCAATCATATGCCTTTTGACCCTTAGCTCAAGTTTGACCTTGACCTTTGGACAATGACCTTGCAGAAAACATATTACTATAATATATTATGTATATAGGAGCTTACATTTGCGAGTTTACAGATGGACGGACTGTTGAATGCACAAAAACTGTTGTTAGAACATACACTAAAAAGAAATCTAATAATTATGACTGATAATTATCCGTCTCCACTATCCAAAAATTAAAATGGTAAATAGCTACAACTTTAAAGTCTATCAATATATATAAAAGGGCTACAATAATAAAAAAGTATTTGATTTGGTATAAGTATATATCAGGACTTTAAACTTTAAGAAAAGTTTCTTTAAAAAAAATACCAATAGCAAAAATATGTGTTTTAATTTACATAATTAAAACAAACTACGTTAAGTAGATTTCTTCAAAAAGCATCCTCTAATTAGAGCTATTTAAACATGTAACAAATTGGATAATAACAAAATTTTACCATAAATACCTTATAACAATGGAATGAAGCAGTTTTGACTAACATTTTCAATATCATTTACATTAAAAACAAACTGAAACTTTAAAAAACAAACTAAAATTGCTTAAAATCTACTAATTTTCAGCTGATCCATTTCTTGTATTTGTGCGTTTTTGTACACCATTGTTATTAATATTAGAGGTGCGGACGATATATGGCTCTGTTTCACTGATGGTGTCCTCCTTTACCCTCGTTTTTGGTTTTAAGGCCACATCATTTTTCACATCCCTCTTAATATAAAACTTCCATACTGTATACCCAACAAGACCTGAAAAGAAAAGAAAATCTTAAATGTCAAAAGAAAATTATAAAAACAAAATATTTCAAAAAGTTAATATATGTGTAAACTATCATCATTAGCTAAAAACCCTCACTCTTACCGACACATGAACCCTTAACCTGCTGGAATAAAACGCAATTTGCCTCTGTCACCAGTAAAGAGCAGGCCAGTTTGCACTTCCATGCATTAGGTTCTGGACTGTTGGCAGCTCAATTCTTGTGTATATTTTCGAAATCCCCTAAACTTTGAAATGACAGTTCCAAATTCATATTTAGGCATATTCATTTCAGAAATTCCGCAGTTAGGCATATTCATTTCAGAAGTTCCGCAGTTACATGTAGGCTTATTCATTTCAGAAGTTCTGCAGTTAGGCTTATCCATTTCACAAGTTCCGCAGTTAAGCTTATTCATTTCACAAGTTCCGCAGGTAGGCTTATTCATTTCAGAAGTTCTGCAGTTAGGCTTATTCATTTCACAAGTTCCGCAGTTAGGCATATTCATTTCAGAAGTTCCGCAGTTATGTGTTAAAACAGACTATTTATGCTTTACTCTTGTACCTGTCTGATGCCAAGTTAATGTATTTTCTTTCCATTATCTGCAACTTTTAAAACAGCCAACCTATATTTAGACATAAGGGTCAGGAAATATATACTTTAGTTGCATAATCATGGCCGGCAAAATCTGATTTTGACTTACTTGTCAATTTCAGCTCTTGCCAAAATAATACATTTCCTTTTATAAACAAAATGAAAGTAATAGTCAATCTATATAAAGTCAAAAAGGCCTGGAAATATACACTATATTTGCATACATATTCTGCAGTAAGCCATTACTGCCTAATATTCTGAAATAAGTAATTAACTAGTTAAAACAAACACCTAAATTAATACCCGACTGTACACAAATACCATTAGTAAAGGAATTAATTTTGGAAATGTTTTTACTTACCAAGAAATCCTAAAATCCAGAAATAAGCAATTGTTTTCGGAAGTGGTTTAGTGATGGTTTCATAATCAAACTTAACAGTAACCAGTAATTCTGTGATGACAATTGCTATCATCATCCAGGACTGTCTACCAAACTTGTTCGGCTCTCTGAATTATAGTATGTATAGTCTGATTAATTTCAGATACAATATATTCAATTCTCATTTGTTTTTATGGTTTTTACACGGATTTAAACACATTTGAGCCGCGTCACGACAAAACCAACATAATGGGTTTGCGACCAGCATGGATCCAGACCAGCCTGCGCATCCGCGCAGTCTGATCAGGATCCATGCTGTTCGCTATCAGTTTCTCTACTTGTAATAGAGTTGGTAAGCAAACAGCATGGATCCTGATCAGACTGCACGGATGTGCAGACTGGTCTGGATCCATGCTGGTCGCAAACGCACAATGTTGGTTTTGCCGTGACGCGGCTCATTTTTTAGTCATATCTCTGCAGCTTATCCTTCTAGCCAGCTTTCCTGGAAAACTGTAACAAAGTAACACCTGACTAGTACATGTTAAATTCCATTTAATTCCAAATCACGTTTAGTCTACAACATGCTGAATTTTAGCAAATTTTAACTGTTACATCAGAAATATAATAGAACCGAAAGTAAAAATTCATGAATATTAAACTTTGCAAATTAATCCAAAATATTGTTTTTTGCAAAATGAAAATAGCCATTTAAACATTTCTAATTTTTCTTAATTCATTGACTCTGACATTAAGTCGAAGTGATATAAGAATTGTGAATCTTTAAGACTTAAAGGCTAATTGACAAAGAGATTTCAAGGATGACAGCACTGATAGGAGTATATACTTACGGATCATCTAAATATTGGAAAGTTTCTCGTAGAGCAGCAGCACCCATGAATAAAATGAAGACAAGACGACCTAGATTAAGATAATGTTCGGGAGGTATCCACAATACAAACTTCAGGTAAAATGTGTTTAATTCAGCTAGTAGAAACTGAAATAAATAATGGCAATGTGAATCCCCACTGTTACTATGCTGATGATATAGAAACCAAATGTGTATTTTCTGACTTTTGTCCATGAACCAATGCTTTCTTTTCTGTTTGGATTTGAAAAAAGTACAAAAACAACTTATCTTTCTGGAAAACATCCTTGAAAACAATTTTAGTAAAAAAATCTGATAATTTAGAAATATTGCACAACTGAATGTAAAAGAACACATAAATTTATAAAAATTTACAAAAGTTATATCATTCTATCCATATTTAATCCTAACACTCACTTTTAAAGTGTCAGTGCATAGTATATAGGTTTTACAATACAGTACACTGCATCCAATATATCTTAAAATTCTACATCTAATTCTTTATTCTGTTCCATAATCTGCTGAATTTCTTAAATTGAATCCTCCATCTTCAATTGTTGGAACTGTCCATTATCAATTTTGGGGGATATCAAGATAAAACATAAAGTTGACCAACCAATAGTATAGATCCTGGTCAGATTGCATTGTTAAAGGTTAAAACTGATGATTAACTTCTAGACATTAAGGTAATTACAGAGCAATTACGTATGCACACAGTAATATTCTGATCAAGCCAGTTTATCCTATCAAATTCTAGCTACATGTACAAATGTATACTGAATGAAGTGCATCTGCATTTTGTCTTACTTATATTCATTTTTATAGGACTACTTACAGAAAGAATACACACCAATGTGTGAACCAATACTTACAATTACAAAAATTCCTAAGGTTGCAAACCATCTAATAAGGCTAGACGTGGGTTTCCAGTTGAAGTCTGTCCAACTGTATGGTGTAAACTGCAAGGCAACACGTTTCATCTTACCGCTGCAATAAAGTACAACAAAATTTAAACCCTTAACCTGCTACAACCGGAAGTGATTAGCACTTGCCACTAGTATAGACCCAGCCCAGTCTTCACATCTCTTTGGAACTTACAATATTGATAAATCTTCATTTGAGTATCATACGAGGGTTGTCCCAATATTCTGTGACAAGATTGTTTAAAAGCTAAACAAGAAAAGCATTGATGCAAAGCATCAAAGGGCGTCCAAACAGCAGGTGCAGATGAACTAGTAGATATATGATGACAAGATATTCTTATAAACTTTTCAATGGTTCATTGGGTTTTACCAGAATTGTATATCACTTTTGAATGAACGGACGAAAGACATTGTTCATTATTTAAAACTTTGATCGGCATGCTAGAAATTAGAATATTACTTGTTATTTCTTTATGATCGTGGTTATTAATAGCAACGGATATACATGTATACAATCATTCATAATCCATATGTGTAACGCATGATCAACACCATACTTGTGTAATTGTCCCTTATTATGTTATCGCTATTAGCGAGGACCCCCTCTTAAGGTATCTGTTCACACTAAGTAACAATATGACACTTGTTATATTACCATGTTGATCATGTTGAGCATAATTGTTTATTATTCAATAAATGTAATTTCTATTTAATAAAAAAAAATACAGATTTTATGAATATGTTTTCTTTCTTTTTTTGTGTGAATTTTATGCGCTATTTTAATACTGAGTTTTTACGTTTACTACTATTTTAAGAATTCAATTGTCATAATGATCGACGATTTATAAGTCAAAACTTAACTGGAAAAAGTCAGTAAATCATGGTTAAA